ATGATACATAAGTGGAGATCTCGCCTTACCTAAGTGAATAAATTAAGGTTGTTGCATATAAACTCTTGAACACATTTCTTTTTTAAACATATCATGGCCAGTATTACAGAAAACAACATGGATATAAAAAGTAGTGAGAAAATTTACAAACAATCGCTCTACTCATGTCACAACGGCTTAAAACATGGCAAATAAAATGGCTGCACTTCCAACGAAAAGACCGTCGCTTATGTGATTCGCACCAATAGACGGAGGTCACAATGCATCTGTATATATTTTATCTGTTGTGATGCGAGTGAATTGATTGTTCATGACTCCACACATCATTTACCTCCTCCTGTGTTATAGCTGCTGTAGACTATGTATAAAATACGGAAGTGCATGTGCGTCTTCCTCTGCCTGTAAATTCCTAAACAAACACCTGTAATCGGTTCATGAGATCGGCCAGATTTGCGAGTACCAATCGAGTCATTAAATGTAATTATCGGCCAATACCGATCTTTGGCCGATACCGATCTTTAGCCGATTGATCGGAGCATCCCTAGTGTCTTGTCTTCTGTGATCATGGTGAAATGTCTTGTAGTTATTATGTTCTTCTCAGATAAAAAGATATAAGTATGTATTAGGGCTGCATGATATTGGAAAATTACACTGCAAAGTCTTTATCGTAATGCAACAAAATGATTCTTTATTAAACTATCAATTAGCAAAGGGTCTTGTGCTTGAATACTTTAATCTCTCTCGGGTCTTAAAAAGATGCAAACTATCAAATTGCACTCCATTATGGTTAAACTCTGCATTGATTCCACAAATCTTGGCTGAACTGTGACCTTTGCTCAAATATAATCCTAACCCAGCATTGCATGTCTACACGATGCGACTACTGCAGATTCATACATTGCAATATCAATGCTAAAACGATATATTGTGCAGCCCTAGTATGTATGGAATATTCAAAGCTCCCTCTGTTGTTTTGATGGTCAAAAAGCCCTTTAATGTGCACTGCTTGCACATCATCTTGGATTAAATAATATACTGACATAACTTTGATAAATATTATGATAAACTTATGATAATGATAACCTTTGGATAAAAGGTAAACCAGGTGGTTACAATGCGTTTTAAAGTGTTAAGTAACTAAAACATTTTATTTATGGTCATTCAGAAGGTCTGTCCATGCATTATTTACTGTTTAAAGTATGAGTGTAATAGAAACTACATTGAATGAGCATCACTAGTTATTGAAATTGGTCAGTTTTGGACTCTTTTATCCTATTTTGCCAGTCTTTCTTCCCTCCACTTTTTGTTTAGAAGCTCAACAATCTTGCCAAAATCTAGGTTTCATCTGTGTAGACTGCATGTCCCAGCATCTGCCCCTCGTCTAATCCCACTTATCACCACAACACACACACAGACACACACACACGCACTTTAATTCCTTTGTCGCCACCCTGTTTGTTGTTCCAGGGGAAGTATGTCAGTGTGACATATTTAGCCCTTCTGACCAGGATTAAAACGTTACTTGCAAAGGAAGCCCCTGATTGGCTGTCTTTCGCTGTCTGTCAATACCAGTTCCCGCCTTTATTAACCCATCTATTCATCTCAATCTGCTAGAAACATACAATGCTTAATCATTTATCTTTCAACCCAGTTTTCTTTTTGCCTCCAACATTAAAACCCCTCAATAGCTTTGTGTGTGCGCATATAAGTGGACGCTTATGGATAAGGGCTGAAAATATAAAAGGCCACCTCCATGTTGTATTTGCTCTCCTTCACTTTATTGACCGCTCCGACCAGGCATGCAACTCTGCCCCCTTGCGTCCATGAAGAGTCACTACACAGCCTGATAGTTGTTTCTGCAAAGGTTGATTATCTATGAGGTGAAATAATCTTCACTTCCCCTCCCATGTCCTACAAAGGACATGTTCAAACACTGTATTTTTTTTTCTTCAAGGACCAATGCAACTGTACCCAAAGCAAAAACCTTTAATTTAAATGCCAGTCTTTTGTTCTTAATCCAACTCCAAATGAAAGCAGACATGTATCATACACTGTTAACCATTGAAGTGCTGAATTGAATAACATCATGCCGCAGGGCCAACGACGGCTTCATGTTTGAGCTGTGATTCATAATTACACTTTGAAGAGTGTGTCACATCCTGTTTACGAAACCAGGTCTCCTAATACATGCTGTCTGTATGTAGAAGGCTGCACGATATTTAAAAAATGACATTGCGATATTTCATTTTTATATGATATAGATTGCGATTTTTGAACATGAAATAAATGTTTATTTGGAAAGGATTCACTGGGGTGATTTTTAAATGTGCAGCTTCATAAAATATAATCAATCACAATCATTGAGAAATACATTAGAGCAACAATACTGTACAACTCAATTATACAGCTTTTTATTATTATTATTTTTAAGTCTAGCAATATTTATTAATCAAATTAGGGCTGGGCGATTTATCTAAAAGTAATCGAAATTGACATTCAGAACCTGTGAGTGATTTAATTTTGTTCAGGACTTGTCACGTGAGCCTGCTCTGTTAAAGACTGTGGCTGATTTATTCTGAGGCCACTTTGCAGCCACATCTGATCTCTGGTCAAGTAGGACCCACTCTTTGCACTACATTGACGATGATTAGAAGTTGTGTCACAGATGCCTTGAGACAGCATATCTTCCAGTACATTTAAAGTACTATTTTCATTAAGTTTTTTGTTTACAGAAGATGCAAGAAATGGACTGGTTTGAAAATTAATTATAGGATATGCAATTATGTTATTTAGTAATGTTATTAGTTATGCAATTATGTTATTAGTTATGTTATTTAGAAGAGATACCGCTTATTTTCTACATTTAATATGAAAAACCTTGAAAATAATTAATTTTGTTTCCAAAAGTAAAAGTTATTCATCATGTTACTCTGTTCATTTTAGGCAATATGTGTTTTAATTTTAGCTGTTCAACGTTGATGTTCGACACATAATCATAGATAGTAGATAGTGTGTGTTCCCTTCACTTATTTTAAAATCAAGTGATGCATCTTTATTCAGAAATCTCTCACTTGTAATATGTCAGCAACTCAGCATATTTACTGTACAAAACCTCTCAGTGAACTATGAGAGCCAAACATAAAATAAATAAAATAATCTTTCATTAGTTGTAATCAAGTTAAAATGTTCAATTAATCAAGATTTAGATTTTTTTTTGGCCAAATTGCCCAACTCTAAATCAAATGTAAAATAACACCTACATAAATGCAGTTACTCTACTTAGAAATGCAATTTCTTATGCCTGAATGTTTTTAAACTAAATGAAATGATAAAAACACATAAAAATAATGTTAATTATGTAATAAATGGTAACTTTATGGTGAAACATGGCAAAAACCACAAATCATGAGTGTTTTCTAATGTGTTTTTTAAATTCTGGTCAATAATAATGCAGATTCAATGTCATAGATCCTGTGATGTGACTATTGCTGAAACGATACATTGTGCAGCCCTATTATGTAGTAGGCATAGGCCAGTATAAGCTTTTGATGGTATCATACAGTGATATTTTTATCCAAGGTTATCACAGTATTGTTATCAGTGCACTAAAATAAGTTCTTTTTAAATGTCTTAGTAAAAACAACGTCTTTGAAAACACAATAAATTTTATTTTAAGAAACATTTATTATATTTTTGAACAGTAAACTTGTCAGGTTAAAAAACATAATTTTTTTTGCAGTTTTAATACCTTGACTTTTCCAAGCCGCGGTACACTGTGAAACCTGTTATTGTTCCATCCCTATTATGTAGTGTCAATAAATGTTACCTTGACATGGTTTCATTGCCCTCTTTGTGTTGTATTTAGAGCTCCCACGGACTCTCATGGCAAAAAATGCCCAAACTAGGGCCCACGGGCCAAAGTTGGCCCATGGTAACCTTTGAATTGGCTCGCCATCTCATCTGAGACAAGTTTAGAGAATGTAGTTTCAAATGTTATGTAACCTTTTATTTGTTTGTTTTATTGTTAAGCTACGAAAACACTATCTGAAATTAAATGTTGAGATTTAAATTGTCTAAATTAATCAGATTTAGTTTAAAATTTACATAAGACGCATAGAGGACAATGCAGAGACTTTGGGGAGCGAATCAAGACAAAGGCAGCTTCTGCTTGACTAGTGTATTCAGCATTGACCTCCACTGTGTTATAAATGTGATTGTTTTTATTGCAATAAGTCATAGTTAAAAGTTATACTACATTAGTTTATATAATACACAAATTAATTTTTTTCTATTTATTTTTAAAAATCACGAAGGGAATTAGGAAATTAGCTCTTCATACAAAAAAAATTGGGGATTCCTGCTCATGCCTTATTAAAAGTTTTTTTCCAGGCATTGACAGTCAGGAAATTTGTGTGTATATATATACATATTTATATATATTTTACTTTATACATTTTAGTTTGAATATATGTGTGTATATATAATTTTTTTAAAAATCATGTTATTTCATTCCTGCTGTTGTGGTGTCACTTAAGTCATATGATTTCACATTACTGTACCTGTTACCCAAAGCCAAACATTTAAGGATGAAAAACATTTTAAGAGCTTCGTCTTCAAAATGACCTCTTTAAAAACTAGTAGATGACAGAAAGGCTAAATAAATTGTTTGTAGAACTACTATTGACCTATTTAACATAGAATAGGGAGCACTTCACAACCACACAAACAGTGAGTACTTCAGATTTGTTTCAAAATCTGAGGTAAATTATTAATTGTTGTTCTCATAATGGCTATTTAAGTCATGCAAAGTTATATTCAAGCTATTTTAATATTATATTATCAATACAGCATCCTGTTTTACTTTCATTAGATGTCCTGGAAGTTATGCTTTTTATACAGTGAAAGTCTTTATGTTTGACTTCAAGTGGGAACCCTGTGTATTGTGTCTTGTATCTGGATGAAAGTTGACTCTAACTGTTTTGTCTCTCCATCTTTTTCAGGCCTTGTGGATGCACTTAGATGTGTGCAATGAGTGCTGTGGCTGACATGCCTCAGTGTTTTGGATTGCTGTGCTCTGGACTCAGTAGGACAAGAGACTCCCAGCACAGAACGTCATGAGCATAGTCATCCCAGTAGGGGTGGACACGGCCAACACCTCGTATCTGGACATGGCTGCAGGCTCAGAGTGAGTGCCTCTGTCTTTCTTTCTCACACAAAACTCTCTTTACGTATTGACTCATCGCTACCTTTCCTTTCATTTTGTTCATCTCTTTCTGGTTGCATCAGCAGAGGGAAATGCATCTCTAGTCTTATTTTTCCACCAACCGCTTCCGTTCTCATCTATCTGCATCTTTCTCATCAGAAACATGCTATGTTGCTCTTCTGTCCAGACAGAAAAAGAGAGAGTTCATTATTTTTGGTTTTCAGCTTGTTTCATATCAAGATGATGATGGTGGTGGATTGGAGCTTTCAGACACATAGGGCTTCTCCACACTGTGAGGTTTCAGATTGAAAACACTATTAACTTTACACTGACAGGGTTTTTATCAACAAGAAGTCCTCTCCAATCTGGATACATTTCAAAGCACATTCAAGGCACATTTTTAGTCATGCGGCCAGTTCACCCCAGAGCAAGATGGTGGGCTACATTGTAGTACTGTTGTTTTGACTGCTTTCCAGTTCGATGGTGTTGTTAAAGATTAATGTCAGCTTGTTCATACTTCAGATTGCATTTCTTCAACGGAGGCGGAATGTTTACTCGCAGTTGTTGTTCTGTGGCTGAACATGAGGACCGTTTTTCTCATGCGCAGTGCAGCAGCATAAGCATTTTCAGGCATTTCCGTGCGGGCGAGCAATTTTTGGGAAACACTACTGTGAGTGGAGGGCATTTTTAAACAAAATCATCGATTTTCAGATTAATCCTTTGTAGAAGAAGCCCGAAAATTGCAATAAAACACTGTAAATGTGATAATTTGCAGGCCAGATCTTCTAAAAGCATCTGATATATTTGTTTGCTGGATGGAAGATTTAAAACTTGCAGTGAAATCTATTTTCTAAATTCATAATATAGGTTTTATTTCCTTTTTTTAGGTTTTATAACCATAACATTTATATAATTTTTGTAGGTGTTATTACAATTTTTCCTTTTGGTACCTGAAAACATTACCTGGCCCTGTCACTCTGACATTTATCTGCTCTTCATTTTTTGCCAGCAGCACCAACATCTCAACATCGCATTAACAAGTCGAGTCCACTTATTTTGATCTAATGCCTTTCTCCTAAATATAATCCACAAAATGGATGAACGGATCCTTTAATATTTCCATTTTTCACAACATTAACCAATATGAAGTGTTTATTTATTTATTTAATTATTTAATATTTATTTTCGGTTTAACTGTTTTAAGAATTTAATTAACTATTAACTTTCACTGTATCACAAGGACGTCCTGCAAAAGAATAGGTTGTTTTCAATCACGTGGTTGTGGTGATGCGCGGAATTCAGATGGAGGGCAGGAAGTAAAAATAATGTAAATACTGTACATTACATGAAAAAAATGCTATACTATAGCGTCTGGATGCGTACTATAGGTAACTACTTGAATTAAACTGTCATAGTAATTATATTGTTGCTATAGTAATAAAATATTCAAATAGGCTTCAGTTTTCTACGCTATAATGACAATGCACTAAAGTTTACAATAACATTTCAGTAATTATTACAGTTTATCAGTTTACTATGCTTCAGAGTTCGGTAGCATTCATTAACAAAGAGTGGTACACATTATACACTTTACTATGTTTCAAAAACATGTTTATTATTTTAATTACTATAGTTTAATCTCCTATGAGGATATTTTCCAGACATCACAAAATAACAGATGAAAACATACAAAAGCATAGACTAATAGTCTATATCATTATCATTTATTTATTTTTTCAAAGGGTAAACAGTGCTTCACAATAATAACCATCTAGTTTTTTCATAAGGGTTGCATTTCATTTTTGTTCTGTTGATGAATTTGCCATTAACAATCATTCACTGCTGCTGTGCATGTAGACGTTAAAGTTACGGTTGTTTATTCTGCTGAAACACCAGTAAAAATTGGATTATTGCTAAACAAGATGGAGATTAAATTGCAGCGATTACATGGCAGGGTACGTTATTCATGTTTTCCTGGATTTTGTTGAGTGTGGTGGTGTTTGTATCTGATTTTTATATATAACACATTAACATATTTATACACATATCCTGTAATCTTTATTGGTGCTATCAAACGAATTATCACATTTAAATAAGCTTGTACATATGGATGTATTGAAAATGTTTATTACATGCTACTTTTTCTTCAGTTTCTCAGCTGATTTCTTGAAAACAGGCACAGCAGCGCTGAATATGATATACATAGTGCTGCTGTATGCTTTTATAGGATAGCTATACATATTAAGACTAACAGTATTTAGCTTATGTAAACATAGATGACCTTTATTACCGAAATCCACAGGGGTAGATTTAGTGATTTAGGGGCCCTAAGCAATTCAAGCCACGGGGCCCAAAAGTCCTAAAGTGCACCTTTTGTTAGCCTGTTTTAAATTATTTTTTATTTATATAACGTTTTTCATATCACTCAATCTCCTTTTCTACATTTTAAGTTAAAATTGTTGTAAAATAATAATATCTTTACTGATTTGACTGCTGGACTGGTCCATGATTGAGTTTGGGGGGACACATTTGCATAGTTTTAACAATTACGTTTAAATTAAAAAAAAAAAGGTTTAGACCTACAACTGACATAATATGATAGAAAACGATTCAAAGGTATCATTCATACTTTTGTGTATTTATTTGAGGGCCCTCAGATTTCATGAGGTCCTAAGCGGCTGCTTACCTTGCTTATTGGTTAACTTCACCCCTTTTAATCTATTGCACAATTTATATTAAAACAAACAAAAAAAAAACATTTACAAATGACAAAAGTTTGGTGCAGTTTCTCTATTTTTATTGTTAGATGTACTGTTGCTTTAAGAAGTGCAGAATTGAATTGAGTATTCGTTGGCAGTTTGTTATTTGTAGTCCGATAGCATGTCTTGCACTCCTTAAATTGCTGTTACTATTCTGTTGGCTTCAACGAAGGAAGTGTCGTCATTCACTGTCTAATACATGTGTTATCACGTGCCGTATCGTCTGCAGCTTGTTCTTGAATGAAAGCCGTGTGTTTCTCTTTAAATGCGAAGCTCCGTTCTGTTGCCTCGTCACTTTGTGTTGCCATGGTGCACTGCGCCGGGCCTGTTGTCATGGTGACCAGCTGAGTGACAGCTGGGCCCCGGAGCTTTAGCCTGCTTAAGGGGCCGTGCTGCCGCGTAGCTTTACGCCCGTCTGGGTTTTAGTGTCTCTTCAGCGTCCATACGCAGATTTATTCCACAAGGCTCTAACAAGCTGCAGAAAAGATCTGCACCTGTTACTAAAAAAAGAAACACCACTTAACGGAAATAAACCATTGCGCTGTTTATCTGTGTGTGGACTTACACGGTGGAGATCAAGAGCATCACATATCTCCTACGTGGCTTTTTGCTTGTTCCTGACATTACTCCTCAGTCAGGGTCAGCCCACCCCGGGCCTGCGGCACAGGTCGTCATGGTAACCAGGCATTGTGCATCACTGTGATGTCAACAGACAGCCCTTTAAAATGCCATTGGACCAGAAACGGCTGCTGTAATCCCACTAAACCTCATCTAGCCCTAGATGGACTCTGTCTGGCGTCATTTACTTTAACGCGCGCTTGTTAGTCTGCGTATATAACAGAAGAAATCTAAAGTAAGGTTCTATCTGTCGCCTCTCTTTCGTAACAGGTGTGTGAATTGTGTGTAGTCCATATTAAGCCGTCTCTGGAGTTGTGCGCTATGATTAGCACACTCTCAACATTTAATTGGAGCTTTTTTTACTACACCACACACTTCGTCCTTTTGTCTATTCAGTCCGCATGTGTTTTCTTTCTTCCTCTTTGATTAGTTTTGTGTATTCTTCTACCATTTTTACTCATTTTACACTACAGTGTTGTACTGCAAAAACAGATTAAGATGGTTATTAGGGAGTTATTTAGTGTCAAATTGCTAACTTTAATGTTGTGTTTATAAAGAAAGTTTAGGTATAATGGAAAAGATCTAATCCACAACCATATTGTGAATAAAATTAGTTTCTGAATTGTCCTAGCTGATGAACAATAAAAACATTGTCAGTCAACATAGTTGCTTTATTGGTAATCTAATCATCTAATCTTAATACAGATCTAATCAAGGTCAGCTATATTTTGAGCTTGTCCGAATTTGACCACTTCCACAGGTAGTGAAAATGCATTTGACTGGATTTCTTTTGTAGCGTAGATGCTGATGTGGTCGAATGTGTTGGACAAGTCACTAAAGACTGCCCTACTCTTTATCTACTGACCTACTTCTCAAACATTATTGAAGCACACTAGCCTGAGATGATTAAAAATTTGCCATCTGAAGTCATAACCTTTAAAAATGTAAATCTTACAAGTTCTGATGTAAATAAATATTCAGAAAAGTTTAGCAGAATAAAAGCTCCTGCACTTTGTTTTAATTTGTTTTGTCTGCATTTAAAATTATATGTAAATTGTGCTGTGCTTCCCACACATAGACCTTATTTGGGCAGGCCGCACAAGTATATTTAATGACAACTTTTTTACTACAATTTTTTTGTAGCCGCCAAATGTAACCAAACAACCACGATCAATTAGGTAGAAAATTTTCTCTCGTTTACACTTCGTTCTGTGTGCGCAAGACAATTCAACACTCCCTCAGATGTCTCGCGTGCTTTGCAAACACACAGACAGACACCTTTATGTGACTTCAAAAAAAAAAATCATCCAGGTTTCAAAATCTCTTGAAATTAACTTTTGCTTTTGCTTTCTAAAGCTCGTATGCATTTTTGCATTACTTTTTTTTACTTAAGCATCACTTGGCTTCGCAGCTGACTGCACATGAACAGTTGCAAGAGCTTGAGAAACATTAAATAATAACTTTTTTAATCTAAACGACTCAAAAACTTTACTATATATTCAAACAGGACAACCAACGCATTTGCTTTATTTAAACAATCTACACGTTTTAATATTGTAGTTATTATAATTTATAGAGATATTGTCTGTTTTTGTTCCTATTTCTGTCATTTATTTCTCATTTGCTGTATATTTTATTAATTTGAAGATGTTTATAGGTGATATTACATAAGCAATTTTATATGCGTATCTAGAATTCTTTGGCATTCAAGTTTGTTTTGAACTTGAGAGAGAGAGAGAGAGAGAGAGAGAGAGAGAGAGAGAGAGAGAGAGAGAGAGAAGCAGAATTTACCTGTCAGTGGTTGCACATGGCTCCTGACTAGCATAAAAGTAAAAGAAATGATGGATTTCTTTTTTTTATTTCAGTCTTTTTTTTTATTTGTATTTTTTTACTTTTACCCATTGAAAAGAAACAGTGTATAACAGTGTCATAATAAATAAAAATGATTGTTAAAAATTAAATTATGTTTTGTTTGTAATTTATAGGTAACTAGATAACTGATGTGGGCAAAATGGTGTGATTCAATCCGGCTACCACCGCAAGTATATTTCAAACCTGTGAAGCACTGATTGTTGAGGCTTATTTTCCAAAATTAGACAAAAAGATAATAGCCTTGTGGTTAGTGTGCTGGCATATGGTGTCGATGCGCTTTGGGCGTTCTGAGTATGAATCTTGGCTTGTGGACCTTTCCTTATCCAATCCCCTCTGTCCCCCCACTTAACCTCCTGTTTAGCTACTGTCCTGTCAATAAAGCCTAAACAAATAAATCTTTAAAAAAAAGAAAAAGCCCATAGATTCACCAACCCATAGACCTTCTTTTTTAGAAATCTGGAAAGTGGACAAGGAGAGGCAATAAAACATTAGTAGTAGTAAGTGTCTTGTTTTCTACTTGTGTTCCAGTAGACTAAAACACATTTTAATAGCAGCTGTAAACAGGGCCATGGTTATCGGCCTTGTGAATTGGTTTTTACACTCATAGCCATCCACGAGCTTCAGGGGTTTCTATTTTTGGACTGGCCTCTATTTATGCAATGTTGCTCAATGATTAACCCACAAATGTGTTTTTTACTATTATTTAATTTAGATTTGATTATCTTTTTTTCATTGATTTTTAATACCCATGATGGGAGAGGATTAAAAATAAATTAAACAAAAGATGAATGCAGGGATATTCCATGACAAAGATAGTCTAATCGTCCTGTAATTTAACATTAAAACTATTGTTTTAACAAGGGATGGTTCACACAAAAATGAAAATTTGTTTACTATTTACTCACCCTCAGGTGGTTCCAAGTTTCCAAATCTTTATGCATTTCTTTTTTTCTTTTGAACACAAAAGAATATATTTTAAACAAAGCTGAAAAACTGCAACCATTGACTTCCATAGCAGGAAAAGCAAATACAATCGCTGTTAATGGTTACAGTTTTACAGCTTTCTTCATAGTGTCTTTTGTGTTTAACAGAAGAAAGAATGGTTAGCCGGTTTGGAACAAGTAAAGGAGTACATGATCATATAATTGTAATTTAAGGGTAAACTATCCCTTGAACATGGTAATACCATTAAATCTGTTACGGTTTTGTTTAATTTATATATTGTTCCATTCAATTGCAAATATGAGACTTCAGTACACTTGAGAGTCGCCCATATGCTTCTTTTGTTATGGCATTAATTCACTAATAAATGTCTTGAGCGCAGTATTAGAATTATTCATGTAATAGGAGCGAGCAAATCACTTAGTAAACACATTAACTTTGTTCTAAAGTGTGGAGCATTGTTCTAAAGGTTTAAAAAAAGAAATATAGTATATACACTCACCGGCCACTTTAGGTACACTTTTCTAGCACCAGGTTAGTCCCCCTTTCGCCTTCAGAACTGCCTTAATCCTTCGTGGCATAGATTTAACAAGGTACTGGAAGTATTCCTCAGATTTCGGTCCATGTTGACGTGATGGCATCACGCAGTTGCTGCAGATTTGTCGGCTGCACATCCATGATGCAAATCTGGTGATTGTGGAGGCCATTGGTGTACAGTGAACTCATTGTCATGTTCAAGAAATACTGTTAGTGTTTTGGTTATTGTCAAGAAACAGTGTACTAATATAAATCATAAAAAAAGCATGAAAGGAAGAGAGAACACAAGACACAAATGTTGAGTCTGCATCATCTCACTGAGCGAGCAGTGTATTGAGTGTGCAGGAAAATGTATACATCGTATATTTGAGAGCTCGCGAGCAGTTTTGTGCACAAACAGAGGAAATCGGCGTGTGAGCAAAGAGAGATGTTGCCTCGTCATAGAAATGAGAGATTCGCTCACTCGTATTACATAAATGCGCTCTTGACTTGTAATAATGCGATCACAACATTTGTAATTGAAATAATGCCATACTTTTGTAATTTAATTTTCTTTAGGCGACATAAACATGAGATTTGAACATGTATTTTAGATGAAATTAAATATAGTGACTTTTAAAATAATTTATTAACTAATATCATAGTGTAGTTTAACAGTAAAATCAGCACTCACTTCATATATATTGTATATTTTTTTGTTTATCTTGCTGGACAATTCCTAGTGTCACAATTACAATAATATTGAGATTTAATGGTATGTTTTTGGCTTTTTTCCAATCTTTGAAAGTCTATTTGTGTCATTCCACCTACTCGGTCACCTTCCTTCCATCTCCCTTTGACTTGCCGCCTGTTTAAAGTCCTCCAGACCCTGCCATTTTTTTTGTAAGCACACTAGAGGGTGTATTGTCACCGATGTGCTGGAAATTCCCTGTTCTGTCACCTGTCCCATGTTGATAGTCTTATCGGCAACACCACTTCGTAACGTAAAAAAGCATCAATAAAAACCTGCTAATCATTTATCATCTGCCTTGAAGGGCCGTTTCTTCATAAGAGTGCTTATTCTCATTTAACTTGTGCGTGTGTGTGCTCACGTTTGTTCCGCCCCTTAGCATTCACACACTTTCACTTTGACAGTTGGGCTGCAAAGCGCCAACTGATTCAGGAAGTGTGAGCGTGAGGTAGGGACATACAGCACGAGGTTAACGTGCTGAGCAGACCAGCAGCTTTCTTCCACTTACAAACTGAGACATGAGTGAGAGAAAAGTGGAAACGCAATGAAAACAGGAAAGAAACACTATGGACTGGTTTGTGTGTGGTTTATTCTACTTCTCCCGTTTACTCTCCAGACACCTTGATTAATGGTAAGTTTTGGCACAGTTTTGAGAGTCCTCCTTCTTTTAAGGACTACTGTATGTTTTGAAGTGTTTATTGGGTTGTCTCGTGTTAAAGGCAGCACATGCTTGCTTCAAATGCAGTGTTGTACAATTGCAGTGTAGTGATATGCAAATGACCCCACAACTGTTGTTTATAAGAGTGCACTGGTGTCAAGTTAAGTGTGAAATCTGTTTGTATACTGGCATCAGTCTGGCTAAGTGACCTTGACGCTGTTTTGTGTGAGAAATTCACTGTTCTGATTCAGATACATGGTTATAAATCTGTCTGGATGGGTCTCTGTCCTTTTTTGCATTTTCTGCCAATAAATCCTGGCACTAAAGGTCCTTTTTTAGCCAATTTCATATGCAGAACGCTCCTGACGTATAAGGATTTGCTCTATTCATTTCAGTGGCTTCTAATAACACGTGGAGCAAAGGACGTGTTATGTGGATGGGGCATGTTTGTGTGGAATAGATAGGCTTTGGGTTTGTGACAGACTCTATTGTGAGATTATAGAGACGTGTGATCCTGTTATTTCACTTTCTGCAAGCTGTATCCCGCCATCCGACACACACACACACACACATAGAGAGAGATAGCAGGTTACTACTAATGGCTTTCATTTTCTGTGTCAAAATATGCATGACTGGTGCAAACAAAACAGTTGATTCGTTGGTGAACTTCTCACTAAGAAGCGTGGATTGTTAATGTTCATTCTTCCTTTTCCTTTTGTTTCGCTGCTGTTAAACCTGTTTTTTTTCTGTATACTTCAAAAACACCTTGTCAGACTTGTTCCTCATTCTGTCCTCTCTCTCTCTCTTTTTTTCCCTTGTGTGTTTATGTGCATGGAGCAGACCAGAATCTGTGGAGGCGAGCTCTGTGGTAGTTGAGAAGTCCACCTACCCTCACCAGATTTACAGCAGCAGCTCCCACCACTCCCACGGATACATCGGTCTGCCTTACGCCGTGAGTATCAAACACACTCACACCTAGCTTATCTACATCTCATTAACTTTCTAATCCATTTTTACATGTATATTTTGGTAGGACCATAATTATGGGGCGCGACCCCCACCCACCCCGCCGGCGTCCCCACCTCCCTCGGTGCTGATCCGGCCGGGCGAGAGCTTGTTTGTGTCCGGAAGCCGGCCTGGTGAGAACTTGTTTGTGCCGGGCGGGCAGGACGAGGCGTCGCGTGGCACCACGCTCAGCACCTCGGAGGACGGCAGCTACGGTGCTGACATCACACGCTGCATCTGTGGCTTCACCCACGACGATGGCTACATGATCTGCTGCGACAAGTGCAGGTAAGACTTTGATGCCCATTTAATATGTTCAATTGAGTTGGATGTAACGCCTTCCACAGTAACATGTTACTGAATTCTCATTACATTTCTGTACGCATTAATGTAATAAATTACATTTTAAATTTGTATAATTTGATTACAGTTACTAAAGTCACAGTAATTGCGTTACTTGTGTTACAATTATAGTTTTTAGAAGAAAAAAAATGCTTCTTTTAAAGCACGTTTTCCACTGCAACATCCGTCAATAAGCATGTGCTTTTAAATAGCTGGAGAGCGTGAGCTGAAATTGTTGCTGTCAAGAGTGCTTGCTTCAAGTGGAAATACAGACATTACTTTTATTTCATTGAGCGTAAAAACTAAAATATCGCTGTGAAATGCAGTCTGTGTTAATTTTCTACAGAACTTTCAACTGCTTATAACTCAACCAGCATCTTGTTCAAGCACTTGAATAGAAAGCATTTTTTAACAATACTCGAGAGGACACAGGCGCCCAAAAACACAGCGGTCCAAGCGTAGCTGCTTATAGGGCCATCCACAAATCGCATCAAGTTTGTTATTTTCAATGGAGGTGCGCATCTGCATTTTCCAGGGGTACCAGTTGAAAACCGCGAGTCACACAACAAGAACAGACCAATCAGCTTTATGCTTTAAATGGAATGTACATATTTCGGTAGACTAATTACCTCAGACAATACCTCAAAACACCCAAACATTGTAGTGTTTTTTCACACTATGGATGTCAATGGTTACATGTATCTAGTTTTCTTCTAAATGTCTTATTTTGTGTTAAAAAAGATGAGAGAATTTTAAGTTTTGGGTGAACTCTTTAGGTCTTTTAAATATGTCAAGCTGCTGTGATCAACCCATTGCAATGTTTTTCAGTAAATAGTAAGTAACTGAAAGAGTTGCAGTTTATTTTGTATTAAAATTTGCCAGATATAAAATCGAAAAATGTTGTTTCTTTATTTTTACATTAAACTATTTGCATTATCAAAATTTATATTGATAAAGTTAAACATTTATTTTGTTGTTTAAATGGTAGAAAAATATATAATCTAAATAGTGAGCCATTTATCTTTTATTGTTTTGTTTTCATCATTTATTGTTTATTTATAATTCTTTTGCACATCATTAACATGTGCATCTGCGGTATCACAGTGTTACTTTACATTTATTTAGAAAAATATAAAGAATTTAAGAGATTTTGTTTGCACGGTAGACCCTGTGATTTCACAAAGATTAAAAAAAGTCCACCCTAACCTTTAAAAATGCTTTTGAAGATCTATTTCATGTGGCAAATATTGCCTTTTATTTCAAACGTTTACTTTTGGTCATAGCTTTTTATTCTTTTGAAGTGCTAAGATCTTTGTATGCAGTGCTACCTGCTTTTTCAGTGGCATTAAAGCTTACAAAGATAAAATCAAGTTCTTTATTTAGGAGATCAGTGCTGTCAACAAGACGCATACTTAAGAAAACTTTCTGCTGATGTAAAAGTACAGAGAGCTGATAGCATGTGTAAATAGGAAGATCTGTCAGTCATTTTTCACAATCAGATAAAAAAAAGAGAAAGCGTTTCAGACATTTCTTCTCATCCGTAACCCTCTCTTTCTTTTGACTTTGTGTGTCAGTGTGTGGCAGCACATAGACTGCATGGGGATCGACAGGCAGCACATTCCCGAAACCTACCTGTGTGAGCGCTGTCAGCCACGCACCCTGGACAGAGAGCACGCCATCCTCCTGCAAACCAGGAAGAGAGAGAACATGTCTGGTGAGTTTTTTTTTTCATGCATACACAAAAACAAACACACCTATGCACACGTTGAACCTCTCCCACAGAAACAAAGCCACGGCTGCTTTTTCCCACAATTCAGCTTTAGATAAGCATCTTTAGATTCTGTACACTGTATCTGTTCAGCGTCACGTGAGCTTTTGTGTACCATGAAATGTGCACCTTACTGTCCTAAAATCCACACAAGCAATTCTATGTGAGCAATTCCAGCATTATGGATGACATTTGCACTAAAAACTGGAAACATTAATTTACATAGAAACTATGTTAACATTATTTTAAAATAGCTGTTTATGTTTTCCAAAACAACTAAACACAGAGATATGGGATCAGAAAAGTACCAATCTGCAAACATTTTTTAGATTTTAAATGAGGAAAATAAACATGCATTATGGATGTCCGCGCACACAAACATGACTGAAACAAGATTTTCAACCAGTTGTCTTTCTTATGTTTACAATCACTCTCATTGGTTGGTGATTGTTTCACACGCATTGAGCAGCGAAAATAAATAATGGCATAGTGGCCTACCTAAATACCATTTGTATTTTCAAAATGGCTAAGAGGCAGTCACACATTTTTTCATTTTAAAAACCATGAGTAAATCTGGAAATGAGCCTGATCAAAAGAGATCTTGTGAAGCTGGAACTGCGCGAAATGGATCAGGATAGTTGGAGACAGAACCAAAACGATCTCAATTCAGCCAAAATAACATGACAGAAGAGATAATGGTGGGCTCTACCGTTTGATGACTTCATATTCCGGGAAAGCTGAAATTGTTTAGTGGACGTCAGTCACGGTAACTTTTATTTCCTGTGTTTGTTCCGGGAATTATTCATTTACAAATTAAGCACTGGATAAGAGTTGACTCTCTATAGAACAAATATAAACCTTGGGTTTGGATCTTACACCTCTCGGTTATGGATGTGGCAGGTGTGAAATAGCCAATTGCGTGACTTGTCTATGTTTTCAAACAATTATATTTGATTTACCAGATACATTTTTGAGTATTTTTACGATTCTGTAAAAGACAAGCCTACACACACAAAAAACAACTTAGAAAGGGTTTTACTATGTTGATGAAAACCTTTTTTTTTCCTGGCAAGTTTGACATTTGCATGAAATACACGTATATGTATTAGAGTTGCTCTGATCGATCGGCCGAAGATCAGTATTGGTCGATAATCACATGTTATGACTCAATCGGTACTTGCCGATCTCATGAACCTATCGCAGGTTTTTGTTTATGAGTTTACAAGCAGAGGAAGACGCACATTCATAAAGGCTCTGTGTTGTCCAAAAATGAGTTTAAATACCCGGAAATCATGGCGACGAGAGTGAATGAGCAAGAGAACAGATCGCTGGAGGCACAGTGATGTTCTAAGCATTACATTTGTTAGGTTTAATGTATAGAGCAGTAAAGATATTGTGAATGTAAATCCCTCACTCTCATTAAGAGATCTGCTGTCAGTCAATAGTTGGAGGCGTCTTGCATGTATTTAGGCCTTTTCACATATAACAAAACTTTTTACTAAATAAATAGCTAAAGCTTAGCTAGAGGTATGTCTGGATATCTGCATTATTTTTATCCATCATAAAAATAACATTAATCTCATAAGTTCACTGTTTTATTATTATTTTGACTTTGTTACTTAATGTTTTTGTAATGCTGCAATTCTGTATGTTAATTCTAATAGATTTTCTTTTAATATTCGATAAATAACCTATGAGGAGAATAATGACCACCTCTTTTTACACATTTTTACACATCTACACATTTTAAAGCACTTCACTGATTCTGTAGTTTAACAGTAGTTGCTATAATAAATTAAGTTACACATTATGGGGAATAAGAAAAAGGAGGATATGAAGCACTCCTGTAGGGTTATAACTGATAGATATTTATTAAGAATAAAAATATCTAGGTTTTATTTGAAAATGTACTTTAATGGATAGTTTCATTGATTATTTTCTTTATTTCTAACAGTGTTTTTTTAAATAGTTTTTTCAGTTTTGTCTCATTCCTCTCAAGTAGTTTATGGTTTACCTTATGTTGATTTAATTCTAGTTTGAACAAAAAAGGGGAAAAAATGCAGACTATGTTTCCTCATTGCTTTGTTGTTTTTTAACCTGTATAACTTGGTGTTTTGCCTATATAAAAAAGCATATATAACAATGTAAAAAAGTTTTACTCTGCTGCCATCCACTGGAGATTTTTAGACATTACATTTGCTCCTTTATTAAATGTCAAATGGTTTTTTGAGGACGTTTTACTTCACATTTATGATTGAGGCCTAAATATCAGGTTTATGGGTTGAATCTGTTGTAGTAACTTTTGTTCTGGGTCGTTGTTGTTGTTGCAGATGGGGACACCAGTGCTACAGAAAGCGGAGATGAGGTTCCACTAGAGCTGTACACAGCGTTTCAGCACACCCCTACCAGCATCACACTCACAACAGCACGTCTGGGTAACAAACAGGCTGATAAGAAACGAAAGAAGAGCGGAGAGAAGGAGCCGCCGGCTACAGCCAGGGCCAAGAAGGTCTGAATCACAACACTTGAAGCATGAAATAAATTTTTGTTATTATTATTGTTATTTTGTACTTGTTTTTTTTTCAGCAAAGAGCTCAGTATTGTTGTACTATAATGCACTGTAATTTTAGAAATAATAAAATGTTAATATTGTTGATGTGTACTTATGTTCACCAAGGCTACAGTTCTGTTATATGTTTTACTCTACTTACTCTAGTGATGATGGAGTAACCATTTTAATATTAACATTCATTAGAAATATTTAATTATTTTGTTACCTTGTAATTGTCATTATTGCGAATTTTGATCAATATCATGCATTTTTGCTCTATAAATACATTAATTTCTTTCTTTTTTTCTAAACCATGATGTGCTTAGTAGACTTGCCAATACATAAAGGTCTGATTTCATTTTTTTTTGTCTTTCAGTCATTCCGTGAAGGCTCTAGAAAATCATCTAGAGTAAAGGTGGGTATTCTGAAGCTTTCTAAACACAACCATGAAAACATCTTTTTAAGTGTGTTACCGCATATGTGTGCTGTGTTTACCATGTTGCTGGCATGTTTGTCCACAGGGCTCCGCTCCCGAGTGTGAGCCGATTGATCCTCCCTCTCTATGGGAGAATAAGATGAAGTCGTGGATGGAGCGCTACGAGGAGGCCAGCAGTAACCAGTACAGTGAAGAAGTGCGGCTACTGCTGAGAGTCAAAGAAGCCCGAGATGGAAAAACCCTGGCCTACAATACACACACCGCAGCCTTCAAGCCACCTGTAGAGGTAATTAATACTCACATATGCAAACTCCACTATAATAATAGTCTACTTAATGTATTGTTCGATGCTTCCTACAACAGGCTTTATGTTATTTATTTATTTTCTTTTCACTCTTAGAGTCAAGTACAAAAAAACAAGCGAATTCTGAAGGCTGTGCGGGATTTGGCTGCTGATTCATTAATAATCGAGTACAGGGGGAAGGTCATGCTAAGACAGCAGTTTGAGGCTAATGGCTACTTCTTTAAGAGGTACTTGAAAGGCCATTTTGTGTTTCTGAACATTTGTTTTCAGATCGCTTTTTTGTTTATAATGTGTCTTTTTTTCGTAGGCCATACCCTTTTGTATTGTTCTACTCTAAGTTTGACGGTTTGGAAATGTGCGTAGACGCACGGAGCTTTGGGAATGAGGCCCGATTCATTCGGCGCTCCTGCACCCCTAACGCTGAAGTGCGGCACGTGATTGAAGAGGGCATGCTGCATTTATACATTTACTCTCTGAGGTCCATCTCCAAAGGGAGCGAGATCACCATTGGCTTTGATTACGACTACGGCAGCTGGTAAGCAAACATTCTAGGGCTGAATATCACGCAACAAATTCTGTTTGACCATGCAAAAAACAATGAATAAAGTGTGTTTACATGCACAAAATAAGCAGAGAACTTTTAATTCTGATCATTCTGATCTGGAATATGCTGTGTTATATGTTACTTTCCCCCGTTATTTTAAATTAGGAGTTCAACAAAACAGACTTCTCTGTTCGGTTCATTTTTAGGCCACTGTTTTGGTATGGTTTGGTATATGATAAATTAAGTAATAAAGAAGTGTCAAAAAGTTATGCACAAAAACCACAGTGAATTCATTATCTTAAAACACTGCGAGAATAAGATGTTAGTACTTGAAGATGCAGCACAATGAGAAACTGTGTGTCAGACAAGTGGACATAATTATTGGTCATAACCAAGTCTTAACGTTGACAAGACTTAATTTGGGTGTTATCCACTGTATGTGTGTATGCAATAAGGTCTGGTGGGAGTGGGTAGTCTTGATGGAATTCATGGATAGCGATTGGTAGCCGTGATGCTTTCAACTCTTGTGCGTGACATGTACTTTGTATGCACATTCATACTGGCAGATACAATTAAAGAGCTTGAAAGCTTATTAAAGCATTTGCATTCAACATGTTATTGGGTTACTGGGCAAAATCTACCTGTTATATAGAGCTTTAAGCTGTTTTTGATCTTTAACTGATAAAAGAAATCAGAGTAACATGTTTACATTACAATCCACATATCAGTTTATAAGTGTTTGCATGTAAACACATCTTTATTTTTGTATATAATCAACTGTTTGCACTTTTCTCACTACTTTCGTTCTCTTTTCCTTTGCTAGTAAATATAAGGTGGACTGTGCTTGTGTAAAAGGCAATCCGGAGTGTCCTGTGCTCAAGCATAACCTGGAGCCCACAGAGAATCTAGGCTCTAGCACACGACGGCGAGGCCGTAAGGACAAAGAACCATCGCGGGACGAGAGCGGACAAAATCAGAACCTCACTATGGACTGTGACGGGTCCAAGGGGAAAACGCTTAATGACGCCAAACAGAGAAAACTCTCTCCTCTCAGGCTCTCAATATCTAACAATCAGGTACCGTAGACACCAGTCAGTGTCATTCCAACCCACTTAAATTTCATCTCAAAAGAACACCTCACACAAGTTTTCATTCTTGAAAAGGTACTACTGGCTTCAATGTACAATTAACTAATTAGAAAAACCGAACTGAGACATAGTTGATAGATCGTAACAGTAAGTTTTGATGAAACTAGGTATAATGAACAAAACTCTAGCTTTTGTTTTAAATTCTGGGTCCCATTGTTGGCTGAGAGTCATCCATAAACGTCGAAAAACCCTTCATGTTTGCATATAAATATTATCCGTTTATTAATCTGTGCATGATTCTTTCTCTGTTTGGATATTTTCAGTCATTCTAATGATCTGTTTACTCATCCACATCTCCTTCCTGGCCCTAATTATGGTGTCTGATCATCACAAAACATGTTTCCTCATTATTTTGCCCTGTATTTCAATGGTGGCGCTGGCAGAATATTACATTTGACTTGTTTGGCACGTTATGAAAGCGTGAAACTCCCTGCCATCTTGGTGCTTTATATATATATATATATATATATATATATATATATATATATATATCAGGACATCCCATGAAGAGATGCCAGCAAAGTTGGCACAGTCCGAAAACAGGATCTCCACTCTATTTAGTAGATGCATCGATGCACAGATTCCCATAAGCACAAAAATGGTCTCTTGACCTAAGATCTCGGCCACACTTTGGGCCCGAATCGACCCTTCCCGCACTTTCTCTCCCTCTCTAATGCTCCTGGTCTGTAGCCAGGCGATGATAAAGGCCCCTCTCCCCCTCTTGCAGGATCCTGAGTTAATAGAGGATCTAGAAGAGAAAACCTCCGTTAGCAATGAAGTAGAGATGGAATCAGAGGAGCAGATTGCAGAAAGGAGGAGGAAGATGGTAAGTGCGTCCAGGGGAAAACGACCGCTATGGCAATCACGGTCGCCATGGAAACGCTACTGCCCTGCCCCCCCATCCCCTGTCTTTCCCCCTCCCTCCTCGTTCTGCCTCCTGGTGTGTGTGGTGATTTGGGCAGCTCCCAGAATGCTCCACCATTCCTTTCTTCCTCCCCTCCACCCCTCTAAACCTCCCGCTAATATCGCTGCTGCCGCCACCGCTTCTCTGTTCCTATCGCTGTGTAGTTTAACCTCCTGAAGGGTAGCGCGAGGGCACTCATCCTTGTTGCTTTGTCTTTCTTTTCCATACTTCATCTGTTATAGAGCCTGTTTGGTTCTCCATGATGAAACGTTAGGAGCTAGACTGTGTGTTTCATCTTCAGTCATTTCTCTCCTCTGTCATGACTGAACGTCAAGCTCATGTTAATAGTGAGAGATCGTGCTTAAATTGAATAACGTTTGAAAGGCTAAACTTCTGCACAGGACACGTCGACAGAAATGCAGTGCTTGAATTTACATTTTTAATAAGCAGAATGTGTTGTCCTCAGTGTACTCAACTCAACAATCCTGAACAAAAACCCGAGTAGTTAGTACATTTAAATGGGAGTTTTACGCTATTGACTAATCTGTGAAGTTAAAAATATTATTTTAATGTAACTAAATTTGATTTTAACCCTAGTTGTGGACTGACCATTGTGTGTAGAGCTTGCCTGGTTCTGCAGTAGTTTATGTAGATGCTTGGGATCAACTTTAGAGTGTATAGTAGCTCTCTCTTTAAATGTGTACATGTTTTATGTGAATGGTTTTGTGTGGCCATTAGATCTTGTGGTGCTGTTTTTTTAACATTAATGTTTAAAGGGCTGTAGAAAATTACTAACCGGCTATGAACCTATTGCACCTTCGAAACTTTTCTTCACATACAATGCAAAGTTGTTAGCAACTGATGGAAATCTCAGTAAAATTAAATAACAACTTAAAAGTAGTAACATAATTTTTTTTTAAATAAGTTAACTGCTGAAATTGATGTTCATTAATCGGATAAATGAAAGTTTTATACTAGTGAATAACATGGAAATTCCCTGAAACTTACCGCTAATGTTTCTGTGATGCAACAAGGCAAATACCCAAATACAGAATTTCTTTCTGTAGTGGGGTCATTTTTCAGTTTTCTCCCAAAACTTACTCTACTTTAACCGATTAAATTCTTTCAAAGCAGTGAAACTTTTTGTAGTTCATAGAACTTTTGGCAGAAAAAAACATCTTTTTGGTGTTCCCTCAACGAAAATGATATTTGGGGGAACTTATAGCGTGGTATGGTATGCTTGTATGGCCGTTTCTACTGTTAAAAGGTATCAAAAAACTAACTGTACCAACTGTACCACTTTTTGGGTACCTAGCACAACAAATGGGTACCAAAAGGGCGGAGCAAGACAGGCTGGTGAACGCTATTGGTTTACAGAAATACACTACTAGCTTGTGCGCAAGCCAGGAGAATTAAAACAAAGGAAGCGCAATTTTTAAATACACAGCCGACACATTACACTGTAATAATATATACATCTAATAATTAGCCATGTCGGACCTGAGCTTGCACAAACCTTGTCATCGTCTTGATGAACAGCCAAAAATCCAAGAAGAGCAGAATCTACCCTGTGCCCTTTTATTGTTTACAAAGCCTTATAAAGCGCGGGTACTTTTAATTTCTCCAGATAGCTCGCGTGCGCATCTATATTTGAAATAATTTACTTCTTGAGCTGATGATAATAACATGCTGTGATTATTAAAGTGCTTCTGACATCAACTGTAACTTTCTGTCATAAACCATTGATACCCTTTTGGCAGTGTAAACGCAAGCCTGATTATGATGACCCGTACCATATCACTCAGTGGAAATGGGCCATTTATGAATTTTTACTTCAGAGTTGGGTTTATCCCAGCTCATGCATGCCATGCAAAAAACTAGAACAGTATTTTAAAGTTGTAAAAGAAATGCACATTCTGAAAGTTAAAATTAGCTTTATTTGTGGTTTTTGGTACTTGCCCAACAAGTTGTTACCGATAATTTTGTCCTAATTTTGCTGTTTCAAAATGTGCATAATATAAAAATTCTTTGTTAAACAGTTGTAAAAGTCTTAAATCTCAAATTTAATTTTCATTTTTCTGAATTTTTGTACAAATATTTGTAAATTTATTACATAGATATGTCATATGTAATGCAGAAGTTGGTTCATCTAACTCAATGGAATGTACATTGCCTTGTAAACCTTCAACACACACCACTTTTTAGTAAGAAAATTAGCCCTAATTTTAGAAATTTTACAATTGGTGGACAAAATTCTTTCAGCCCAGAACCTGGGCTACAACATTTTGGTGGCCATGAATCACAGCTCCATGCCCCAACCACACTACCCATACAGCAAGAAGTACATTGATGTGTATGAGTGTGTGCATGGGGGTGTGAGCGAGATTAGAGGCCTGTGTGTGTGTATGTAAACCCTGATGGCTGTCTCTTTCGGCACCATTCAGGGCAGCCCGGCAGAGGAGTCCCACCGTCACGACGCAGGGGCTTCCTGCTGCAGAGCTCTGAGAAACAAGGAGGTAAACCTACCCCTTCATATCCTGACAAATCCCAAACCCAACCCTTCCACCCTGCCTGTTACTGTACAGGAGAACCCACACACTAACCCCACTGTCCTGTGCTCACTGACCCTATGCTGAGACTGAAGTCCAGGCATGCAACCCTCAGTCGCTCAACATGGCCCACCTCAAGACACCCTCGTGTGATACATTTTGTTTCCGTTTGATAGGACATGAGGGGAGTAAAGAAACCGCCTCGCACACATACATGCCACAATTCACACCTTGGGGGTGTCTTATGTTTCCTCTTGGCTAGAAGAGAAAGTGTCCCATTTCTCTCTTTTCCCGCCTTTGCTGCTGGCTATGGCCTGCTGATTGCACTAAGTGGCTAGCTGGGTTCCCAACTGTCAGCTTGAAGCTCGACTCAGCCGTTCTCTGTTCTCTTTCTGTATATCATCCATGTAGACACGGGAAGAGAGGAAGATGGAGGCCATTCTGCAGGCGTTTGCTCGTATGGAGAAGAGGGAAAAGCGGAGGGAGCAAGCGTTGGAGAGGATTGGCACCAAAGGGGAGGTTGGTGGACGCAGCGATATAAAGGAGGAGGCACCTGCAACCCCTGAGGCTGAATCTCCTGCCGTGATACAGGTATGTGATATCCACTGATGCATATGCTCAAGCTGATTTATTCTTCAACCTAAAGTGATCGCTCTACTACACATTGCAAATCTTGGATGTAGATGTGAGCATTAATACATCTCCATTCTGTTTGTGCTGCTCTGCCAATAATACTTCAGAAACACTACTTGTCTGTCGGGTTTTCTATGCTCCACACGTTTATTGAGCATCAAATGCTAATGTAGAAAGAGGCTTAAACTTGCAGTTATTAATGAAAGGAGGACACAGGAACCGTTCTATCACTTTAATCATAAAATAAACTAGAAAACCAAAGTATGCATCTGGAGCATACACTTGCACAGCTCTCTGCATAGCCCATACTCATCTCTGCTAATAAAAAAGGCTGATTGATACCTCTGCTGTGCGCGTGGACATCTCAAAAATGTGACTACACTATGCAACGACGCATAGCACAAGCTCTGTGATTGGTTGTCTTGGTATTGCTAACAAGTGTGGGCAGGACAGAGAGCTGAGCAAACCCGTTGGAGCATTTACAAGTATCTAGCCCCTTGATGGAGATCCAGATGGAAATTTTTGTTTTGTGTTTACCTTATGATTAAAGTTGTTGCACATCCGCCGGTTCCAATAAGGTAGCATTCAGAAAACACCAGAATTGAATATGCCAAAATGGCTGTAGTGTTTGTGTTTGAAACAGTATGTATGGGTGTTTCCCGGTGTTAGGTTGCAGCTGGCATGGAATACGCCTCATAAAACAGTGGCAGTTCATTCTGCTGTGGCGACCCCTGAACAATAAAGGGTCTAAGACGAAAAGAAAATGATCAGTTTTGTTGTTATCTGATACTGCTCATTTATTTACAAACTGTTATGATTAAATTGTGTATTGAACATTTATTATCAATGTCTTCATTAAAATATCCATAAATAAATATCCCTAATTGTAATAACATATCATCATTGTTTTGATGTTTAGCCGCTGCTAGAGGTAGTAAAGGAGGAGCCTGGTCTGAAACCGGCGAAGGTGAGCCGTAACAAACAGAGAAAAAGCTTCTCCCGGAACCGGACGCACATAGGACAGCAGAGGCGGCGAGCACGAACTGTCAGCACCTGCTCCGACTTGCCCCCCAGTTCCCCTGGTGACACTTTAGAGCCCTTAATGGCAGAGACTCAAGATATAGAGATGCCTGTGGCCCCTGAAGCCGATGCTCCGCCAACGCAACCCCCTGAAACAAGCCCACCCCACAGTGGCTCACCAGCCCCAACATGCCGCAGTGGACAGAAGTACCCCAAAACTAAAAAGGTAGAATTCATCTGCGCTATCTTCCATATAACACACACCACAGCTGTTTGTTCTGAGTTATTAAATGGTGTTTTCTCTTTCATGACAGCACTTAGTGAGTGAGTGGATGGGTGTTGACAAACAGGAGCGGGTTGCGTCACGCACTCCGGAGCCTCCCCCTGAAAGGCCGTTGCGGATCAGTAGTGATCCTGAAGTCTTAGCCACACAACTGAACTCTTTACCGGGCATGTCCTGCAGCTCACACGTCTACAGCACGCCAAAACACTACGTCCGCTTTTCTTCTCCTTTCCTGGCCAACCGTAGTCCCAGTACTCCTGGAGTGCCCACGGGACGACGGCGCTCGAGAGAGATGCCTGAAACGCCAACTTCCACTGGCTCCTGCAAGAAGGTAAAATAATCGAATTATTCAGAAATGTTGTGAAGTATCATATTAATATTGTTCGTTAGTGATTGATTATATGATTTACATTTCAGACCAGACACACTTTTATTTTGCACTTACAGTTGAATTGAATTGCTGTTATTGGCATGGCATGTATAATACAAACCAAATTCCATGCGCTCTTCCAACACAGCAAACATGCGCACTAACTACAGTACATACAATCACTAATAAAATGGCACTGATGCATACTGTATTTTGCACAGTACATAAATAGAAGCATACTCATTATAAGCTTGGCAAATGACACATTGTCTAGTTTTCATATTCTAGTTAGCAACTTTTTTGGTCACGTATAGCATATATCATATAGCATATATAGCAAATGTCCTCAGTGTGCACATCTGACCAGTGAATCCAGCTTGTGTAATCTTTATTTTGAAGAAATGAACAATCTAATCAAACAAATTTAGCAATTGTAGTAAGTGTAGTGCAGTGGTCACCAAACTTGTTTCTGGAGGGTCAGTGTCCTGCAGATTTTAGCTCCAACCCTAATCAAACACACCTGAACAAGCTAATCAAGATCTTACTAGGTATACTTGAAACACCCAGGCAGGTGTGTTGAGGCAAGTTAGAGCTAAACCCTGCAGGGACACTGACCCTCCAGGGCCGAGATTTGTGACTCCTAGTGTAGTGGAATAAAAATAACTATTTTCCCAAGCATTTTTAAAGAAGGTAACACAAAGACTCTGAAGCTACCACTGAATACACAAAGTGTTTTTATTCTTCAGTTTGTTTTCATAACTTCCACATAGTTTAATCATCCATAGCATAGCCACTTGCTTGCTAGATAGTCAATATCTTTAAATCAGGCATGTCCAAGCTTGGTCCTGGAGGGCTGGTGTCCTGTAAAGTTTATACACAACTGGGCTAGCTAATCCAGGACCGACTTTGGACACCCCTGCTTTAAATAATCTTTTAAAAAAAGGGTTTTACATTAGTCAGTGTGCATCTCTAAAATGTTATCTGTAGCTTTGCATTTCACTAACCCCTTACATTTCAATGGATTCTGCCTGTCTTATCATTTGTTAACTAGAAAAATAAATCATTCTGAAAGTAAACTTCACGATAAAGTTTCTCTACATCTTTATTTTTATAACTGTGGTCTGAACTCTGCAGTTGTCTTCATATTATTGTGCTTTGTGTGAAAATTTACCTTGTTTTGTACAGCGCTGGCTAAAGCAGGCTTTAGAAGAAGAAGGTTCGACCAGCCCAGGTGGAGGACGACCTTTTCTGCTCATACCCAGTGAGAGTCCTCTCAGTCCCTCTATAAACGGCGAGTCCTGCAGCCCTCTACCCCTCAATGGAAGTTGCTCATTACCAGGTGAGTGGCCGTCCATATTCAGACAGGAAAGTTATAACATAAAGCTTGATGAAAGTAGTCCGCAATCTTACTCTGTCCATATTATTAGATTTTTTAATGTATTTGGGTTAACCGTTCTTGGGTGGCTTGCCAATGTATTAGATTAATACATAAAGTAAATAAAGCTGACCAAAGTTCATACGTGGAGAAGACTTTATTGATGACGGTGATTATTACAGTTCCTCAATGTTGATGTCAACTCGTCAGTCTTCAAGTAACTTAACCGAAAGTACTCTCTGTGAGACAGAACTTTATACTAGCCACAAACAAACCATTCTGTGTTTACTAAGCTCAGCAGGACCATCTTTAACAGATGTTTTACCTGTTGTTTTGCTTATATCCACTGAGAACTCAATTGGCTCTCACCTATCATTAAAGGGTCATTTAGTTCACTCCTATCATTTTGTAGGGGTTGAAGCACAGGTCACGCTCAGCATACAGAGAATTGATCACATCAGAGTTCATTCAATGTAAATACGACTGTACTAAAAGGCTCATAATCTTTCAATATGCTTGCAGAGTTGCCTACACCGTTGAAGAAGAGGCGCTTGTGTTCACTCGATCCCTGCATGTCGGAGACTTCCACCCCATATGGGTCTCCATGTGCCACGCCAACCCGAACAGAGTCAACAGAAGCACCGGGCACACCTTCGCTGCTAGCAACGCCTCCTCGACCTCGACCAGAGGAGCCCAGTACCGAGCCCTCGACACCCTTGCAGATGCCCAACCACCCTCTGTTACAGGAGGTCAGAGCTTTTCTGCATAGTTGTTGATGCCATATACAGTTTAAGGCAAACATTATTTTCCCTCCTGTGAACTTGTTTTCTTTTTTTATATATATAATAAAATATCTATCTTATTTACCATATTAGGAAGCCTACTGTGCTAGGTGTGCAATCTGACACAATGACACAAATCATAAAAAAATATAGCTTCTTTATTTGGGTCTCTTGCCATGACAAGATCTAAAACAGTAGGGATTAAATCTAAGGAAGTTTGTACAACTCTTTTTCGCTCCCCGGAGCATCTGATATGTACCTCACTCAAGACATGCGTTAGGGCTTTCCCTACCGTAAAACACACAAAACATGGATTGCTGTAAAATTCGTCAATGGCAGGGAAGCATTTTCCCTTGTTAACTGCAGACAAAGAGTTAAACAAAAAACATTTATCGCCTTGACATGCAACAAAATACCAGCCATTCATGCAAAGCACAAATAATATTTTTTTTATTCTGTCACATCCAACAGTCGTCATCCGTGAACCAATCTCCATCTGTGTTCCACTGCTCCGTTTGTTAGATGTTTGCTCCAGTTTTCTTTTGCAGTCTGAAGTGCGTCAAACACACAAAATGCCTAATTCGCGCAATAGGATGTCTAATCTTTTCTTTGCTTTGACTTCACATGTAAATCACTCGCGCTTCACCCGCGTCCGCTTACTGCACAAGCTGCCCCCCTTTTTTTTCCATGTAATGTTTGGATTGTGAGGACACAGGTGAGACGTCATTTTTCGAGAGACACTCAAATACATCCCATGCGCTGCGTATGCAACATCTAGAAGTCATGTAAAACAATTCATTGCAAACAGAAATTAATATAATTTGATTATATGTTTTGGAATTGGATGTTTTATAATATTATTTACATTATTTGTGTTTAAATTAAGAATTTCACAGGATCGCAAAATATGTGCGGCTTTTTGTTGATTTTTGTGTTGGTTTCAGCGATTGCGGACTTGTGGAAAACTAAGGGGTCTGATTATGTAAAAAAAAAACATGTTGAAAATAAACCTCCATTAAACAATTTAGAAAATATTTAAAAATCAATAAAAACATTCACAGGAGGACTAATACATTTTACTTTAACTTGAACATGTATGGGATTTTGTAGAATTATTTTGTTTTGGCATTTAATTAAATGGATCCCCAGAATATTGAAAAGAAGCCTAGTGGGCTTTTAATAGTTCGTTGAACTGCCATAAGGGGGTGCTAATACTTTATCGAAGCATGCATTATTATAATCAGCAGCAGTAATCTTAAAATTAGTTTGATTTGCAGCAGTCTTTTGGCAAAAGGCAACAAAATGATGAATAAACATCTCTGTAAATCCACAGAGTGAATCGTCAATGGACAGTTCTCCAGATGGCAGCCGGAGGCCCAGTACACAAGATGTGCGTTCACCATCTAAGTATCCTGCTACAGGGGTGTTTTGTTGCAGTTTTCATGATCACATCTAACGCATCTTGTTTTCTTTTGTCAGGTTGAGCGACCTCCTTCGCTGCTGGCATCTCCCAGCGTGAGAAATGTGAGCTCTGATACGGCTCCACAGGAGTCTAGTAAATCTATGGGGTCTCTGAGTCCTCAGCCCTCCCACACGGAGCCCCAGGATGCCGCAGTGGATGAAGGCATGGAGGTTGATGCTGCTGCTGCTGTTACTTCTGCTGCTGGTGGTGGTGGTGGTTCAGAAGCATCAACATCAGCTCCTGAAACGCCAGTCTCCTCTTACCCTCCATGGATGAAGAGTCCAGAGCGGGGCGGCATCTCTTTTTCCCCAGTGAATTCAAATCTGAGAGACCTCACTCCTTCACACACCCTGGAGATGGGGGCGTACAGGCCGGATTCAACCTCCAGTGGCCCTTTTAGTGAAGCCGCACCCTTCTTTTCTTGCAATGAGGAGAGCAGTGGTGTGACCTTTACCCGCTCGCTAAGTGGAGATGGCACAGGGGAGGGAAGCACTGCAAAAAACCCACAGAAGAAAAAGGTGTGTTTTATAGTATCTGCCCAACATCTGTAACACTTTAGTCATAATTTACTCTATTAACTACTGGATTATTTCCTGCTTATTATTAAGATATTAAAAGTTTATTAGAAATTATAAAGTTAGATCTCATTAATTTTAACGAACTATTCATAATCAGCTTATTAGTAGTCATAGTTTATGTTTTAAGTAACGGTTCACTTTTAACAAACCATTATGTTTCTGAAACTACTTAAAAACATAATAATTATAATTGTATTTTGACACAAATGTATAACGTTTTTTAATATGTGTTGTTAGGTCTCTCTGTTGGAGTACAGAAAGCGTCAGCGTGAGGCACGGCGGAGCGGCTCCAAAGGCGAGTGTAGCTCCCCTGTTTCCACAGCACCACCAGTAGACGTGTTCCCTGTGGCGGTGGAAATGGCTGTTGATCCTCCTGCTCCTGCAGCAACACCGACCCCCAGGACCCCGCAGCCTAGTGAGGATCCAGACGCCCCTCAGGGGGAGAGAGATGGAGAAGGCCAGTGGTAAGTCCTGAAGTATATCATGTTAAACGAGGTTGTCAGTTTTTATGTAAACTTCATTTGACTGCTCAAGTTTTATTGTACGTGCTGGTTTGATGGCCAGTTGAAACCAATTTTTGCATTGCAAATTGTAACATTTAAGCATGTTTAGTAAGTTTCTTTTTATTTACAGGACATCTTCCACATCAGTAGAGCAGGCCAGGGAGCGGGGCTACCACAGGGCCTTATTGCTGAGTGATCATCGCAAAGATACAGGTAAGGAAACCCTAGAAAGATTAGAAGTAATTTTGTTTGTTTGTTTAAATTCTTGAATTTGTATCCGTCATATAAATGTATGCTTCTGGTAGTGGGAAAAATATATATGCTAGGCATCTGACGGTATAAAATGTTCTTGTTGCGATTAATTGATGTAGCTTTTATCACAATTTAAGATATTTATCATTCCTAAGATTACTTTAACAGGTATAATAACAATAAAGTACTTGGTGTATTGCTTTATTCAAACAAATTCACAAAAGTATGATACAGTACAGTTGGTCAGTGTTTCTCAACCATGTTCCTGGAGATCTGCACATTTTCTGCACAAATGTCTCATTTAACCAAACACAACTGATTCAGATCATCAGCTCATTAACAAAGACTGAAACACCTGTAATGGCTATGACAGACAAAGGAGACATCCAAAACATGTAGTGTTGGTGGTCCTCTGGGAATGTGGTTAAGAAACACTGCAATAGGTAACTTTTTACAATAGACTCAGTAGTAAACGTTAGTAAAAACATTAAAATCAACAGTGAAATGGACTTATTTTAATTGAAAAATAAATGACCTGTTAAGTCTTCCAGCAGTTGGTGCTGTGATGAACAACCACTGTAAATACACTTCAATTTGAATAATCTTAAAAGACACTATAAATATGTATTGAATAATTAATTATTCATGGTATTTATAAGTATCTATGATATCAAAATTGTGCATATTCAGTATCACAATATATTGAATTACTGAATATTGGCACATGCTTAAATATGTACTATGTCCAGTTCTGCTCCTGGAGGACCATATTTTTATGTTGTCCTGTATTCCTAATTAAACAAGCTTACACGGCTGAATTCTGTTATCAAGTAGCCCTCCAGGTGCAGGACTCAACCCCCCTGGAGTCATTCCAAATAAGTGGTGAAACCATGGATATATTAAAATGCGTGGGAACCTGATAAGGTCTTCTGTATTATTATTTTTTTAATTAACCTGTCTACTTTTCAGATGGTGGAGAGTCAGAAGGTGGTGATTCCCAAGTGAAGGACTGTTCTTCTCCCAAGAGCTGCAAGAGCCCCTCGACACATGCAGTAAGAGAACCTTCTCTCTGTCTACCCTGACAACTGATAACTGATAACTCAACCAGCAAGTTCCCATTATAAACTTCTTCTTCTTGTATTTACAGCCTTGTTCTCCAGCAGCCCAGGCTGTGTCTCGGCCATCAAAGGATGAAGATGAAGCACAGACTCGTGGTCCTGCTCAGCCTCAGGCAGTGTCCGTCCAGCCGTCCAGCGCTAAGACTCCCAGCTCAAAACCAGCTGCTCTGACGCCCAGCAAGCTCCACTGTGGGCCCTCAGGCGCCTCTCAGAGTCACTACGCGGGACCTTCGCTCATGCACTCTCCCAAAGCGCAACCCCAAGGATCACCTTTCCGTGGCCAGCGAGCCTTTCTGACAGCTCAGCCTCAGAACCAGCCTCAACCACAAGCTACATCTGGCCCTGCAACTTTCCCTCAGTATAACCCTCAAAATGCACCTCCACCTCCGCCCCCTCCTCCCCCAGCTCCACCTACATCTGCTCCTTACTTCCCCACCCAGCCTACTGCTGCTGCTGCTCCCTTTCCTGCATTTAAGCCCACCGTAGCCTCGCCCTTTCCTCCTGGTTCCCAGCCTCTACTTCAGACCCATCATGCACTGCATTACCAAAGCAGTGCTGCTCCTCCTCCTCCACCACCTCCTCCCCCTCCCCACCCGCAGCCTGGCCCCACCTTACTGCATGTCAATCTGCAACCTCCTTCACTGCAGCAGCATCAGCTCCTGCTGAGCTCCGCCCCACCTCCGCCTCCTCCTCCACCTCCTCAGACACAGAGTTCCCAGCAGCCCCCGCCTAACTCCGGCACGCTCCTGTCAATCAAACAAGGACCACACCCACCCCTTCCACCCCCTCCTCCAGCTCCCTCCACTAACGCACCACCGCACCCGTTCCAAAACATCAGTGGCTTTCAAACCACTCTACTCCACCAGTCTGCACCAGCCAACCCCTCAGTAACCGCATCTACTTATCAACAAACTGTATTACCCCCTCCTCCTCCACCTCCCCCCCAACAAACTCCTCCCACACAGACCCCGCCCAATCCGAGCATCCCTCAGATCGCAGGTGGCAATCGAGGACCCGCTCCTTCCTCCGCCTCTTTCCACACCACCGGATACTTGGGCACAGGATGGCACTGACCACACCCACCAAAACCCCGCCCTCCAGACGGACTCTCTCAGAGAGGGGGCGGAGCTACATCTTGTAACATACAGCACCACTGTAAATATTTTCTATGTACCTTTTCACAAAGGCTAATGTAACCTGGTGGGGGTACATTTTAAGAAGAAAATGAGGACTGTAACAGAGTAGACTGTGTGTAAAAGATGATGGTTAATGAACCCTGGTGCTCATCACAGTCCCCCACACCTCCCGTCACAACCTCGTACTGCCATCCTGTCTTTTCCAGACGTCTTTTTTTACTTTGAATGTTTTTATTCATTTTAATCGCACCTTTCCGCCGTCTTTTCCTGTTTTGTCCTCCCAGCGCAATGGGACATTCCAGTTTCTTCCCTACCGTTTCCTAATCTCCCCCTGTTTTTTCACTCATCAGTTATTTGTTTTATCTAGGCGCTCATTATATAGCAAAAAGGTTTTGTATAGAGAAAAAATACAGAATCATTATTTTTTTTATTCCTTCATGTAAGAGAAATATCTGTGCACCGCTGCAGAGAAATCCAGAGGAGACCTTTCCGATAGGCCGCTTCACTGCCCCAGGAGACTGCACTTGTGTGAATGAGCGAGTCTGTGTGCATGAGTGTCTGTTTTTACGCGGAAGGGAGCGTGAATGCTTGTGTGCCACCCGCATCCGTGCGCATATTTATAGTGCGAGCGAGAGGCGGATGGCAAATAAGGCGCAGACAGATATGCGTGCTGTTCTCTGTGGCAGCTTCAGAAAGAGAGGTCCTTCCTGTAGGGGGTAAGCGGTTTATTTTTGAATATCAATGGTTATTTGTAGAAAGTGTAATTTAATGTATAGGTGGTTACTCCAGCTTTCTCCAGAAACAGTTGTAAATATTGGCTTCTTTTCTTTTCTATGCTTGTATAATTGGCTCCCATCCCCATTTTGGAATATGGTTGTAAATACAAGCGCTCTTGACGAAAAACGCTGAATGTTTCTGTGACTGTAGCACTATTTTTATTTCCTCCTCTCTGGTTTATTTTTTTTACTGTTTGTGTGTGAGTGTATGTGTGTGTGAAGGACAGAGGCTCACAGACACAGCACTGGTTGGCTATTTTCATGGTTCATTATAATAAATCACTGTAATGACAGTTTTATACCAACTCAATCGTCTTGCTTTTTATTCTGGGGAGGGAAATGGGATGTTTTTACAATTGTATGTTCATAATGGGATGTTTTTACAATTGTATGTTCATAATAGGAGTTTTCTTTCACAGTGAAGAGATGCTGCATTGATGGTTTGAAGATTAAGGTTTCTGAACATTGACCACTTGTTTGCCAGTAAAAAAATATAAACTTAAAATTGCCTATTATGTTAATATCTGGTGATATACTTCAAGGAAAATGTTTATGCTTCGATAAAACAATGGATGAAAGCAGTTATGTGTTAAGACGATATCAAGCCCAGGATCCTAACACAAATGACAACAAAGGAAGTGATGTTATGATGGGGAAAGGTGAGTTTGAGATACATAAAGTATGTTACAGACATTGTATGCTTCCAAATAACAGACTTTATCTGTTGTCAGGCTAAGATTGAAGACTGAGCAGCTATCAGGTCAGTAACATTCGATAGATTTTAGTACAAACCTGTGTAAAACACTAGCCTCTTCTACTCCAGTCCTGGAGACCCTGATTGGCTGGTGCAGGTGTGATTAATTATAGGGTTCGTACGGTTATGGAAAGAAGAGTTTTGACATGGCGTTTTCCTGGCCTGGGAAGTATTGGAAAAACAATCAAGTTTTTCAAAATTTGTAGAAATTTGTTTATCAAACAGTCGTATAGTTATAGTATATTTTAATTAATTATTATATTATTCTCTTCACGCGACGCTCTGAGTTAAACCGACTACTCGGTTTCAGCTGCTCCTCTCCTTCGTCGTTATTCATCGACAAAGCAACCTTTTGAGTGCCGTGTCCAGAAACTATACTAAGGTAAGATATTACGGTCACTAAAGGCTAATTTGTACAGTTCTTGTAACACAAGGAAAGTTTTTATTTTGTACATTTTGTATACATGGAGATAGCCGTCTAGCTTTGCAGGCGGTTAACGCGAGTGTTCTTATTTATTTTAGTAAAGTAACTCAATGCTAATGACAAACATTCCATGATAAAAAGAGTTTCTCCCAAAAACTGAAGCCCTTAAGTTTGTGTGTGTATGTGTGTGTGTAGGCTTTTATTTAACAGCACTGTTTAATAGTCTCAAATAACGTTACCTCTGTCAATGTTTTTAAAGTTTTATTTGATTTAGCAGTCACACAAGTGTCAATTTCACATCTGTCAGATCCATAACGAAACTTTTCCCTCATAAAATCATATATATATATATATATATATATATATATATATATATATATATATATATATATATATATATTTTTTTTTTTTTTTTGTGAGCCAACTCATACCTTTGATTGGCGTTGTTTCTTTTGGGTTGTGCAGTAGTTGCAAGTATATGTTGTATACTGTAATCTCATTAACTTTTTGTCACATTCATAACGCATGTGTAATTTGTAAATGTGTTTACAGATGGATATTTTTCTGATCCTAAATCTCTGTGTTCAGTTGTTTTGAAAAATATAAAGAGAGGTTTCAATATAATGTTTACACACTTTCTATGTTAATTTATGTTGGGAGATTTTATTGCAAATGTCACATCCATAATGCTGGAATTGCTTAATTATCTGCTTCATGACTGTCTCCTTATTTTCAGAAACTGATTAGGAAAATTTATCAAAGCAGAGATTGTGTAACGTTATTATTAGGATCATGTAACCTATTGAAATCGCTGGCTTTTAAAAACACGTTTACAAGAGAATGTATTTCTAAATGATATACGCTCCCTCGGCAAAAAATACAATCGGGTTATTTGCTATATGGACTACTTATAATTTGTAATCAAGCATTTGTAATATATGATTTTCAAAATAACCCTAAAAACGTTTTCAAATATCCTTACATGTGGTTAAAGCTGACAGTACTGTTCGAGTGTGTGGCGCCATCTAGCGGATCTCCTGAGCGCACAGCACTCCATTACTCCTCAGTTAATTTATTTGCGAGACATTGATTTTCAGAAGATAGTTGCTTAAATAGTATTTAGCTTTCTTTCAGTGTTTATTTGTGATTATTTATTTTTTTGTCATTTATTTTCTTATAAGTATTTAAATATTTTGTGTAAAAAAATTACTATCAAGGGCAGGGTTAGTTGTGTTGCTACTTTGAGGTGTTTGGCAGATCACACGCTCATTATTTAATCTACCAATGATGTGTAAGCAATTTCTAAATAAATTTGACACGGATATAAAATTAAATACAAACTAAATAGGTTCAAGTACCTTACAATGTGCTGTAATAAATTTGAATGTGCATTTCTTATGTACATAGATGTTACATAAAACATTGGGTCACATTTAGATTATTGAAAACTCCACAAGTGATAAATACAAGATTAAAGAGTTTGTTCACTAGTTTATGCTATTATTTACTAACTCTTATGTCAGCCCAACCCCCTGAGACCTTTGCTTGTTTTCAAAATACAATATATTTTAGGTGAAATAATAGACGGGAGGCTTCTTATTTCATTCAAAGTCCAGAAAGGTACCAAAAAGCATCCACAGAACAGACCACATGCCTTAAATTGTTCAATCAGAATATTATCAAGTTATTAAGAGAATACTTTTGTGTGCATTTAAAACAAAAATAATGACTTTATTCAAGTTTCTTCTCCTCAGTGTCAGTATAAGGCATGCATATAGGGCCCATACACTACTTGCTCTGTTTGAAATAAAGCTCAGGCACATCTGAGCTAAAAAGTCAGAGCTGAAGCCAAGCATAACATGTGAATGTGCACCCTATACTGACACTGAGGAGAAGATTCATTCATTCATTCATCTTGTATGTGTTCTTTAGAAGAGTCTACTTGCATTGTGATGATATTATATTGTCATTCTGGCATTATATAGTAATAAAGGGCATAAAATGGTCTTAAAATGACAATAATATTATTTATTGCAATATATTTTGGTGCAATATATCGTACAACAAAACATAGATACCGTGACAGGCATAGTCAGATGCATTTGATTGTTTTTTTCTGTGATACAGTGCTTAGCTTATTTGTATCTATTTCTGAGTGAATATAGGCTGTATTTTGGTGCATTTAAGCAAAACAGATGAATTTAATTAAACCCATATTTATTAAACTAATATTTTAATCCCTAAACATATTTAGAAATTGAAAGATAAAAACAATTAAATTCAAGCAAAATATTGCAAACATAAATTACAACCTACAAAATTTCAACCAAATTTTCCAATTTTTCTGCTTCTCTTGATTTTGCCTCTTTTTTAATGTGTATTTAATATTTTCCTGTAACACAAATTAGGGTATACTAGTTTTTGGACCTTTATAAAAGTTATTTCGTTAGATAAGCTCCAGATTTGGCTTCAGTACTGACTAATCTAATGTATATGCACAAATATAAAAGTGTAAAGCTTGCTAATAAAAATACGAACTTCAAAGATAGATTTGTAAGGGGTGTACTTATATATGCTGAGCACTGTATAACACCTAAACAAAATATTCATACTTCGCTGCATTGTACCAATATGGATCCGTAGTAAATTGACTGATCATCTTAATTTTATTCACTTGCTCCTATAAACCATGTTACATAGTTTTGATCTTATAGAGCAGAGATGCCCAAACTAGGGCTTGCAGGCCAAAGTTGGCCCATGATTTACCTTTGATTTGGCCTGCCACCCCGTCTGAGCAGAGAAGAAGAACGATGAGGTTGGTTTAAAGTAGGGATGCCCAAACTTTTTCTAATGAGGGGCCAAAAACTTAACTTTATTGAGGGTGTACATTATAAAATGTATTTTTGTACATTTTATAATGTACATCTTACAATAAAAACATGAACAATCCCACTTATAATGCTAAAAAATACACTTCGCCTTGATTCGCTTGCTGATGTCTTTTGTAATCTTTGTTATCCATCAAGTGACTGTATTTTTATTTATTTTTTAATCTGATTCATTCTCAACATTTAATTGAAGCATTTAATTTCCGTTTGCTTTTTGTAGCTTAACAGTTAAAAAACTGTTATGTTAAAATTAAAATGGCAATCTCTGTTAAAGGCATTCCCTCAAAAATTCCCCATCATTGTCCCTCTATTCTCAGATGGGACGGAGGGCCAAATCAAAGGGGCCTTAGTTTGGCCATCTCTGGTTTAGAGATTGTCATTTCAAATCTAACGTAACCTTTTGTTATTATTATTATTATTGTTAAAAGCTAACTAAAATTAAATGCTTTAATTAAATATTGTTATTTAATTAGATTTGGTTTAAATGTACATACTGTCACCTGATGAATAGAGGACAATGCAGAGACTTTGGTGGGAAAATCAAGGCAAAGACAAATTCTGCTTGACTAGTGTATTCAGCATTGAACTCCTCTGTTCACAGTTGTTTTTATTGCAATAACTTATCATTTTAAAAGTTGTACTTCTTTAGTTAATATGATTTAAAGTAATGTTTTCTATTCATTTTTAAACATTATGAAATGAATTAGGAAACTACCCATGGAAACTTTGATGTAATATAGTTTGGTATTTTTACCTTCGGCCCATGACTCTTGGTAAGATTTGTTTTTTGGCCTTATATACTAAAAACTTTGGGCACCCCTGGTATAGAGCATGATGAAAAAGACAAAATGCAAACACAAGTGATCACGAGACGCATTTAAATGTATGTCAATACCAAGTGGATACGTTATGTTAATAGCAGGTGAAATCAAGACAAATGTTTGGCTTGTTGTTTAGACAGTGTCCAGAATGAAATATCTTTATTGTAGTCTGTAGAGGTAAAATCTTTATTCATTAATGTTGGTGAATTGTCTTGATATCTAATACATTTTAATGGTGTATTTACATCATCATCTACATACAACATCATCTGACGAGACAGACAGCCAATAAATAAAGCCAAACATTTTTTTTTTCTTTCCAGCGTCGTTCAAATTCTTCAGCTGTCCAAAAAAAGAGGAAATGCCACTAGGTACACAGTGATGACATTTCCTGTGGGTGTTTGTTTATGAGACCATGTCCTCCAGGTTTTCTCATGACGTTTGTCTTTTTTTGATTGGTGATCCTTGTTCATCTTGTTGGGACAGAATGACTATACCAAGTGTACGAAACGGTACCAGCTGAGAACATCATAATTATGGCACACATAACTATACAGCACCAACACTGCCGAGAAGTAAATATCGAATTAGAGACATACAGAAATTTAACATGTACACTCAATACATAATACTTAAAACACTCTCCTACTTCTGTATATACTTGGCTTGTGCACAAATACTAATGGCAGAGACGCCTGCCCCTAATTTTGACACTTATTTTAAAGTATATTAACAGTGAACTCTTGCCTTCTGTTTACCTTTTCAACAATTGTGTCGTGGTGAACTAAGTGTACATTTGAAACCCGATAAATGATCACTTACATCTTAATTGGCTTTCAGTGGATTGAGTGTCTGTCTTTGCCGCTTTGTTTTTGTTTCTACAGGCCTGAAATGTCTCTGTCGCAGTTTGTACATTACAGATTTCAAAGCTTTCAGCGTTTCCTTCTACAGTATGTTAGTATACTTGGAGAATCCAGTCAAATTGAACAGTGTTATACAGTAATTCTAAATCCCAAAATATTAACATTACTATAATGCAGGCCTGAAGAAGAGGACAGAACATAAAATGAAATAACATTCAGTCAAACTTGCTTCTAAACGGTGCATTAGCTGCCCTATCATGTTAGTAGCACAGAACACGGTAAATAAACTAGGGTAGGGATTTGTTGAGAAGCAATTCCAGATAGTGAAGTGAAAAGGAGGGATATAAAGAGAAAAGCAGTGAGTTCCAAACTCCATTCACCCTGTTCGCATCCTTTGCTGAAATGTTTTTTTTTCCCCCAAACTGTTGCAGTCAGGCTTCCTGCCCTCAGGATGATGGGTAAAGCTGGATTGTGATTTCACATAATGGTTTTCCTTAAACAAGACAGAAACACCTGGGAACAGATAAAGGGGATGATTTAATGTGAATAAACATTGAAGCTCAAATTGTTACATATAATTTCAATACTGGATGGAGATCTTTTTAAAATTGTAAATAAACTTAGTCCAAGAATTTACATCTCAAAACAATTATAAACATTGTCACACTTTATTTTGATAGTCCGTTTGTTGAATTTAAGTTACATTGGATTTAATTGCCAACTAATTCTCATATCTCTTATAGTCAGTTAAATCAGAGATATTAATAAACAGATATTAAGCGGACAGCCTACTAATACACTCAAATAGACCATCAAAATAAAGTGTTACCATCAACAAATAAAACAAAAAATAAAAATGAGAAATTATATTAGTTATACAATCGAAGCATAAACAAATGCCAGGGGTAATATAAATAAAAAGGTAAGATGATGATAATAATAATAAAAAAACTTTATTTAATCATATTAAATTGACGTAATGCTTCATATGTTTTATTAGCTTTTCTGTTTTTCTGCACAGTGTAGTACCATATTGTTTAATCTCCTTTATAAAGTGTTCACAATTTGGGAATTTCTTGACATGAATACAGTATTTTCCATACCATATAAGAAAAATACTTTTTGAATCAATTCCTCCAATATGTATTGGTGTACCAAATGTCCTTAAAATAAAGTTAGAAACATCAATCCAAAATAATCTTGAGTATACACATTGAAAAAACATATGAGTAACAGATTCTTTAACAATGCCAAAAAAAATCGCAAGAGCTTCTCTATCCGCTTCAAACCATTCAAATAACTATTTTACAGGAAACAGCTTCTATGATGCACGCCGAGATTGCATTGCTCAGAGATGCAATTTCCATGGTATATACAGTAATCAGAGAGCGAAATTCAGTACCTTTTAAGACCTTTTATAACACTCTATACACCTTAAGACCTTTAGGTTTCGACCGGTAACAATTTAACTTGCAGTATATTTACTAAATACTGACTGTAAGAAACTAATCCTAAACAAATACATTGTTAATATACTGAATAAAAATGCTAATCCAGCAGGTGGCGCCTATAACTGCAGGAATAAAGGAGTTTCTTTGGTTACTGCAGTAAACAAAGCAGCTCAATGTCAAACCTAGCACGATTTTATGGATTTCATAAATTGTACGACATTCTAATATTTGCAGAATAAATTCAGGCAAACTTTAGCAATGGTGCTTTTTGAATTGAAACTTTTTACAATGATGATTGTATAATCAAAATGATATGGAATACTTTTTTATACATTATTAAGGGTCTTGCATTTATCTTAATTGATTTATCAACTGTTAATACTTTTTAAGATCCATCGAACAGCCTGATGTCAGACACAATTCACTCAATGAAGCTAGTAATGTCACTGTGAGGGGTAGGGTTAGGACTGGGGTTAGGTGAGTGCCTTTAAAACATTGAATGCAAAATAAGTCTGCAGCCAGACAACTCTCTATATTTTAAGTAAATGGCACTCAAAGATTTGATCTTTAGCAGATCTTCTTGACCATGTTTAATACCTAAACTTATTGATTTGCTGATGATTAGAAATATGCATTTAACAAGCAGTCGAGGTGAATGAGTTTACTTGACAATTTGGCCAGTGAGTAGAATTATTTTAGTCAACATAAGTGTTAAATATCAAACCTAAAGCTCTGATGATGCAGTGTCTTTGCAGGAACTACAAATGGTGCTGAATTTATAAAACCACTATTTTTCTGTATATTGAAATACTTATTTAATTATTTTTTTATGCATTTAGTGGCAATTTAAGTGATCGTTTGCTCAGAAATTGTTAATTGTCTATAATAATTGTCTATAATCACTCACCCTCATGTTGTTTTTGAGAGCTTCACTCATCTTCAGAACATAAGATATTTAAGATGAAATCCAAGAGCTCTCTCATCCTCCAGTAAAATCCTTATCCTCAAAACAGACTCTATACATTCAGTGCTTCACTCAGAATATAATCAAGTGACTTTTGTGTGCACATAAAACAAAAATAGCAACTTTGTTCAACAGTTTTTCGTTCTCAGTGTCAGTACAGGGTGCACGTTCAGATATCACGCTAGATCATTACATTGGATGCACCTGTGCTTTGCTGCAAACAGGAAATCGTGTGCACAGGAATCCAAGGGAATATACATTACTGCACAAAGCTCATAAATTTGCCCCTTCACTGACACAGAGGAGAACGGTTGAATAAATTTAATTTTGTATTATGTGTGCACAAAAGTAGTCTTGTAGCTTGTTAGTATTTTGATTGAACCACTGAAGACATGTCATTTGTTTTGAGTAAGCTTTTGAATAGTGACTACGTTTACATGGACATCAGTAATCAAACTATTTGCCTAAATCTGAATATTTTTACATTTTTTACATGTTATAGCACATAATTCGATTAACGTCATTGTGTCACCACGCTATCATCATTTCCTCTGAGGTTCATGTAACTGCAGTTTGGCACTTTCATTCAGGAACATTTCATGCATGCCCCCGTGACAAACGAGATATTAATGCAGGCGTCTGTGGTCCTTCGCTGACTCGATAGATGCTGAGAATAATGTTTGTATAGACTATCCTGTCACAAAATGCGGCAAAAATCCAACATGACTGTAATAGTTTGATTGTGTTTACACATCTGTACTGCAGTTCAATAATGTGACTAAAAACTGCATACTCCATCTCTTAAATCCGATCTCTGTTAAGTTAAATTATTACCTTAATCAGATTAAATTAATCACAAATATCTGTTTACATGGTAGACTCTTAATCAGAGTATTGTCTTAATGGTATTAAAATTGGATTATTGGTATTGGTGAAATGTATGAGGGAGCTCTCAGATTTCATGTAAAATATCCTAATCAGTGTACTTAATGCATGAAGGTCTTGGGGGTTTGAAATGACATGGGGGTGGCTAATTATTAACTAATTACTAATTAAGGCAAATTAACAGTTTAGTAAATGTAGGAAGTTCCTAAATGAGGTAAAAAAGTTTACAAAAATGTACAGCATGCTGTTTTACAAAGGTATGTACATCAACAAAGAAAAGCATTTTATTTTTTTAAAGTAAAGACTCACCTGAGTGTATCTGGCATCTATGCATTTCCACTTTCTGTTGATAGGAAATAAAGAAGGAAAGTACATGAAAAGTAAATAATAAAACAAAATATTACATAAGTCCATGAAGTAATTTTTTTAAATGCACAGAAAAAAAATTATTAGCTACTAACAGCTCTCAATGTTGATACATAGACAAGTCATTTTGTTTGTTGTTTTCTTACATCTATCCAGTTTGGATAAAAAAAACAAATAATATCCACTAGATGGCACCAACACCATCATCTGCCACCAAAAAACATACCATAACAAATTCAGTTTCAGCAGAATTATGGAGGCGAAGCAAATTGCTCATTTATTATTATACAAACATCCTTAATCACCATTAGCAGTGTGCAGCTCATTGGTTTCATGCAAAACCTGTTTACCCCTATAAGTGACCCTTCATCCAGGACTTTGAGGAGGAGAGTTCATTCTTTCCTTTATAACTCCCTGATTATATAAAGAATTTCATAGCTAATATCCATAAATAGCATTTGGTTCCAGGTGTTCTGTTCAGCACACCATGGGTTCCAGCTGATGCTGTGCCTGTGATTAATATGGACAGTCTGACAGCAAGCTGTGTAAACAGTCATTAGTAATTCATGGCTGGGTCTAGTGCCCCAGGTTTCCATTAACCCCAGTTCATGGTAGATTCTACCTTCCTATCTGTACTTCATTTGCTGTTTTTCACTTCATACTCATTCCTTCTAATATCTCATTCATTTTCACTGCTTCATCATCTGATTCCCTCAATAATGAGCATCTTTGTTTCACTTTCTGGTCTATCCTTGCTTGATCTGTCTGCCTCTGGCTGGCTCGTAATGAATGAACTGGACTGACAGGCACAACAGCTGCATGCTTAAAAATGATGTGTCAGAACATTTATAGGGAGAAATGGAGAATCCAGTTTGGATGATTATAATAAATAATTTTTTTGTTTCAGAATGGGAACAAATTTTGTTCTGTAGGGGAGTGCATATGCAAAAAATAAAAGAAACAATCTACAAGCATCGATACTGTAATTTTAATAAAAATATACCAATTAAATATACAGTGTTTTATTGTTTTCAGAGGAGTCAATATGTATTCAGGTATATAGTCTTTGAATAATCAAATGTAAAAAAAATTACCTCATAGTCTTCATTTTATGAACAATTCAATCAAATTTATCATTATTACAAGTTACAATTTCTTATGCCTGAATGCTTTTATAACCTCGTCCCTCACACAGTAACAGGCCTCAGAAAACACTTACAAAATAGTCTAATAGTATAATTATAATCCAGTTGTCAAATTAGGTCCCCACCAATATTAAAAGCAAATGTATGCCCTTGCACCCTTTAAATAAGTAAAACATTGCTCTTACTGTCTCCCAGCAGCTCCTCGGACATAAGTCCATCCTGTCTGTTGCCCAACACGAAGGCCAGGAAAGATAGGATGAGGGCGTCCAGGATGCCCATAATGGCCAGGATGTACGCCCAGCGCACTGAGCATGCGCCGATGGTGTATTTATCCGTCCCTTCTCCGCACATCCTCTTCACCTCATCAGCATCCCAGCCATCAGGATATATCATACAGCCCAACACTAGACACGTACCTGAGAGAGAAAGCAAGCAGTTGTTCGGGTAAGACAAGGTCTATGGATTTAATCAACAGCAGAATGCATTACTGGGCTCCTGCGATATGATAGATGGCAGTTCTAGAGCGTAAGCTGAGGAGCAAAATGAGCTCTAGTGAAAGAAGTCTTGGCAGTTTCGTTTGTTCGATTATGACATGTCTGACAGCGAAGATGAATGAGTGGAGAGGCACTGGTAATACCGGACGAGGCCCCAATTTATATTCACATACGCACAAAACTCAAGCTCTGCTAGAAGCTGTCATGAGTGATTTTTGCAACACTTGCACACCAAATGGAATTGCAAAAGTAACTAGATTTTTCTGTGATGTTTGTCAGTGTAATAAACTGTTAAAGTGGTTGATTACTGGCAAAAAAACTACTTCCTAGTTTTCATTATATTTTGGGTCCTAGATTGGCTCAAGTCCTTCCATCAATGCAAATCCATTTTCTACCCATTTTATAGTGCAGTTGTCTGATTCATTGTGCCCCATTATGCTAAAAGTCCTACCACAAACAGCAATTCTGTACATCAAACACTGATTGATGTAGACTTACTCAGTGGTTCCCAAAACTGGTCTTGGCATACCCTCATTTCGAGGTCTCTTTCATCTGGCACGACTATTTTAGATTTGGAACTAACAAGGTGATGAGCTGGTGCGATCAGCTGTGTTTTGTAGAAGAGATTGAGGTGAAGAGTTGGGGGTATTCTAGCACCTACAGACTGGGAACCTATGACCTGACTAAGTTGAACTCACTTATAAATGCAACTATATATTGTGAGAAAAAAGGTATGTGAACTGAGTAGTAAGTCTGAATTCATAGCATTTGAAAAACAGTTAGTGGAACATTCTTGGATGACCCACTACTTTCACTGAGATTCTTTAGTGTGCATCCAATGTACACTTTACTATCCCATGAGGGAACTGGGGAGGATTTGTAAATAGCAGTGCAGTGCAGTCCAGGCCATTTAAGAATGGCAACATGGTTAATGTAATATGTATGAACTCCTTTCATTCTCTTCATTCATAGTGATAAGGTAACATTCAGATTACCTACTCAGCCAGTATGGGATTTTGGACACAGCAAAACCGACCGGGTTCCCAGGGCTTCATCTGGAGGTATTGCTTGTTTAGTAGGAGTTTAAAAATGTACACTATTGAAATGCAACCTAGACCAGTGTTGGGAACAGTTTGTGACAGTTCAGGAGATGTATTTCACCTCCAAAAAAATTACAGGACAAGCCATTCTGATCCCATTTTTAAGCCCATTCTTCTTTCTACTGATGTATCTGTTTCATTTACAGTAACTATAGTGTTATTTTTGCATGTTCTTCTTGTGTTGCACTGGCAAAGGGGAACCCCCAACTTGAGTTTTACCAAGGGGGCTCTCTTCCCCAGAACATGCAGACTTTATTTGGGTGGACCCCTCACCCTTTAACTTGATTTTTTACAGAGTATGTTTAATAAATTCAGCAGAAAATTCTCAGACTTTTCTATGTATCCCACAAAGCATTTTTTGTTTAATACTTGTCTAAACATAGAAGGCTTGGCTAAAACACGGTTAAATTTGGGGTGTCAGCGAAAATCTAACAGATGTCCAAGAATAGCCCAAAACTTCAGATGTGTAGTCTTTCATTCCTGTGTATTTGATGACTAGTTTAGTTTGGGGCTATTCTTTGACATCTATTATTAGGTTTCCACTGGCTGTTCAAATTGAGCCTTGTTTTGGTTACGGCGTCTCTGCTTAGATACTTTTAAACAAAACATCCTTGCTGAGATCCTATCCCAAAGACAATGGGATATTAAGCATCCTTGACCAAAGTATTATTATCATTAATTTTTGGGCAACTGTGAAAATAATACAAAACAGATAAAAACATCAGATACACATCTGATTTATATGCTTTAGCAACAAAAGCATCCTGCAATTGAGAGAGTGCAATAGCAGAACTGTTTATTTGGACCAGAATCCCTTATGCAGTTATTTTGACTTTCGAACACACAAGTAGAAACTTAACTGCATTTAATTATTGGTTGAACGAACTAAGTATTAGCACAGTCAGAGAAAAAGTTAGAACAGAAAAGAGAAAGTTAAAGGGGTGAGAGTAGGAAGAATATCCCACATATGGATGCTGCCAATGGAATCAGGCATGATTAACACATCGCCTGTATGTCTTTGTCACACATTTTGCTGTGTCACAAAATAGCTAGTGAAATGAAAAGCCACCCAAAAAGGCTCTTATATCTCCTATATCTGTCTCTCTATCTTTCAATATAATCTCTTGGTTCGTGTGTCTAATAAGCGAAACTTTAGAAGACATTCATCATCATTATCCTAATAGCCATCAGCGGGCTAATAGTAATCACATTAAAGCTGAAAGCCAGTCACCCACATCCCTGAGCCCACAGCTTATTTACACTGCAAAGACTCTAGAGAGTTCACAGGTTTCCTCTTGGGGCTGTTTTTGACAGCCCAACTAAGTCTGTCGCTTGTATAACTGGCCTTCCTGCATTAGTGTTTTATGAAAGTTATGCTTGTTACACTGTCCTATCCAGATGTAACTAGGTTTTCATTGTATATCCAAACCATGTGTTCACATATCTGCACTAATCAGATTTGACTAAAATTGCAGATTAATAAAATTGCAGCATTTCTTTTATTGTTTGTTTCACTTAAAACAAATGGCAAGTCATCTATGTGGTTTGACTGCTATGTGAGCATTTGCATTTGCGCTTACAGTTTGTGTGTGTGTTTGAGAGAGAAAGATGGAGAAGGCTATATATATATATATATATATAGCCTAGTTCAAAAAGGTTTTAGATGCGTATTACAATAACATCACATAACGTGGATCACACATAGAATGAGAGGTGGGTAAAACTCAACAACTCAAGGCTTTGCACACTGGACAAGCACATTTTATTTTTTGAGGCCTATAATGTTTTTGAATGTAAAACTGTGCAGATGGGGCTCTATAGTGAACATGCAATGCCAATGTAGCTGTAGCTCAAACTTTTCATTCTTTGAAGAAAGAGGTTTCCATCTTGAGCTCCACTGCAGGACTCAACAATGAAATCAAAACTGAAATCAAAATTTACAATGTTTATCTTTCTAGCTCACATTGTTTTTCTTAAAATTAAATAATAATCTGTAAAATTAATAAATTAATTATGGTAATATTCACTCAAATTCTGACCACTTGATTCTGTTTCTGGAGTGGCTGTCTATCTATTAATGTCTACCTGAGGACTTTCATAGCAACTGTATATCAATATCTGTAACATGTTAAGATTGGGATAACTTAGGGATCATTTTAGATAGTAATTAAAATGTTGGTGAACACGCAGACTATATCTATAAGAAGGCAACACAGAGACTCTTTCTTTTAAGTAAATTGAATACTTTTAATGTTAGTAAGGGTATTCTGAGGAAGGTTTATACCAGTCTGGTTGAAAGTATTATCTTCTATAATATTTCTTGATGGTACAGAAATCTTGGAGATAGAAGCAAGTGTGACCTTGGAAAGATTGTTACCACGGCTAGTAAAATCATAATGGACCCCCTCTACTTAATATTATGTTTCAGTTGGAAATACGTAACATAACTGGAATGAAAGTCTGAGCAATCTTTGGTTTAAGCGGACTTTAAACACTTGTGCCACTGGCCTTGATCCACTCTCACAGCTGTTGGCCTTGCTCAAACTCATCAAGCCTACCAAGCCAACCAATCGCATTTCTTGCATTCTGTGTCAACTTGCACAACGACAAATGAAAGTAGTGAGAAATTTGTTTAGAAACTGAATATGATTTTCACGTCACTATGGGACATAACTGGAGGGAAGGTTTCAAAGTTATTGCTTTCAAACCAACCACACTCACGCACGCACATTACGTTGGAAATGCTTATAAATAATAGAAAACATCAGCATTTTCTCTCATTTCACTTCCTCTCCAGAGCCTGCAGCACTGCACCACACACGTATACTAATGAAGAGGAGGTCTTCAGCGAAACCTTTCAATGTTATCGAAAAGACACACACTGCTGAGCTCTGATAATGAGCTGTCCTTATCTCACCCATCTTGTGAAAGACAAGTTGTTGTTTTTATCCCATTTTCTCTTATTTTTATGTAATAAATGCCACAGAATAGGTTATGGAAAGTCAACCTTGTGGTTCTGTACTTTGGCTGGGTTCTTTCTAATAGATTAGACTGCGGTTGCATTGTGAGGGCTTTGATTTTGCTGGCAGCGAGCACTCATGCTGCATCTGGGTCAGTGAGAGTGCTCTGAATGCAGATGCTGAGAGTGTCACATCCGAGATGTGTTTGTAGATAGAGGCTATAAATAAACACAGTTAAAAAGGGAGAATTCTGCATGTTGGAGTGTGTGTTTCCTTGAGGAAAGATTCATTTGTAATACCCCTCTTCCCCCCTTTAGTCTTTCCTCTTCTCTGTATATCTATTTTTTATGCTATCTTGTAATCTCAGCCAACGATTTATGGATGAACCCCCTTGCAGGGGGATTAGGAGCTGTCCAGAACATGGGGTGCTAAAAATATACAGCCTGCCACTTGACTAATGGAGCTGTCCCTTTCAGAAGTGGTCCTGAACTTGTGTTCACCCAGAAATTGTCATTATCTCATAATTTTCTCACCTTCATCTCCTTCCAAACCCATATAACTTCTGTACACTCTTAAAAAGGGGGATTTTGCAGTGATGCCACTGAAGTAGCACTTTGGGTTCCCTAAAGAACTTTTCATTGAGCAGTTCTCAAACCACTTTTTATTAAGGAACAAAATATACTTTAAATTGGTCAAAGAATGGAATGAAACGCTATTTTTCGAACGAAGTCCAAACAAAAAGTTTGTTTTCAGTTTGTTTCGGCAAATCAAAACAACTCACCAAAGCAAACTTTTTGGGGGAGTTTGTTTTGGCTCCTGAACACCTTTTAAACCAGGGGTCTGTTCTTCGTAGCTCGCTTAA